AAACAACAGCAAGTACCTATACCGCGGTTCGGCAAAATCAGATAAGGATGAATTGAACACATATTCGGTTAGAAAGTTGGATGCACCCCTCACGAAAATTGGCGGAACAATCCGACGATATCGCAGCCGGTACAAGCTAAGTTGGAGAGTCTTGTCTTGGCCAGGACCTTGTGGATCGATAAGCGAGAGGTCAGAGTTTTCTATATACGAACGTCTAGAGTTCCTCTGTACTCGGCTTTGTTATTCGAAATAGGAATCCAGCTACCAGGGCAAACAAAGTAAATCAATTACTGCTTTGGATAGGGCAACAGTTAACACCACGTGTACCAAACCAACGGGTATCTGTGGGCCAGCTGTCAATCCAGCAACGTTACCAGAGTGCAGTTACCCTGCCTTACCGGTAGGAACTCCGGTGTACGGGTGGAAGCGAAACTAACTTCCGGTCCCTTGCGAGAGAAAGAAGAAAAATGACAAAATGCCATGAAAAACCTAAAATGCCAAGTGCAGGTTACACCCGCCAAGACCACCAATCGGAACAATGTGCAGCCTATCAATCTAATCAGATAATTTTATCAGATAAGCTAGTACCGATGGAGCATCGACCTCCGAATCTACTCCGGAGTTTGAAACAAATGGCCCTCGCCGAGACTCTAGACTGATCTAGTACAAAACATTCGACCCCAAATACCCACCAACCTTTCATTCCGGTTTTTATTCCCTCATCGAGTGAATGATTGACGAGCGGGACTTTCCGACCAGAGCTCCAATTTCCCGCATCCTGTTTCGGTTCGCCGTGGTGGGTACTGGGAGTAGAATTTATCTGATCCGTGATTTAGTGGGAGAATTTGTTGTGGACCGGTTTTTACTGTTGTGACTGGAGTTGCTACACGTTATGGTGGATTAGCTTGATCTGATAAAATCGCTCACCTGGCCATTAGGTAACGAGTCTTAGGTGCCAGACCAGAGACCATGGTAGGGGATATTAGCCCTAAGCGTGGAAGGAATTGTGAATATGGGACTAGTGATGTTTTGCCAAGTTGCGGGTGGAATTCAAAAATACCAATATTACGTGGTTCATACGATACGTACAGTACGGTAAAGTACGTTCTCAGCACGTCGTTTCTGTACTTGGACCCACGTTGGCAAAACCAGACTCTTGCATGTGTGGCAGCTTTTCGAACTGAACACGCCCAGAGTTTGAGGTTGAACAGCCCAAAAATCGCCAGTGGCTACTGCAAGCTTTGGTTGTATTCTTGGCTCGCTTGTCTTGTGCTACAATTGGAGGAATCCAGTGTCATTGAATCTTCACACACGGCCCTCGTCTATGTTACTGCTTCGCTTGGATAAGGCTACCATATCATATATTATTTGCAGGTTTGAGTTTTCATGTGGCACTAGGCCAGATGGAATGGGGCTTCACGCACAGTCCCTATGTTGAATGCCATGTGCAGACGACTGGTGGCGGAATGCACCGTGACTTGAAACTGATTAGTGGGGGTACTGCAGATATACCGTCACCTTGATCTCTAGTACAATGAGTGCCCAACGACTTCAGTGAGGACTGAGACTAGTAGAATATGCAACTCCATTTAGGTTGTATCTCTACGTTACGATGGAACTGTAGGTTGGCAGCCCGGCGATTTTTCGTCCCATGTTTCTGAGGTGTAATCCATGCAGGATGTGAATATATGCGTCATCCGCTCCAGTTTCATTGACATGTCGGGATATGCCGCTGACAAGATATGCTAAGATAAGATCCATGATCCTATCGTAAACTGGTATGCATCCAGGCTGCATATACGAAGGACTGAGCGCATGTTGAAGCACCTATGGTATTATTTCCGACTATGTGATCGACTGGTCCTAGCAGCAGGCGTCGTAGCGGTGTGTTAGTCCTCAACAAATAGAGAAACCACTCTTCGAAGTATTGGATTCACTATTAATTCCCTCACGACCAGCAGCGTCGCAAAAGGTGAGCTCATCGTTGCTTACCTTGGGTCTACAGCCCGTATTGGGACTCCGGCCGAAGGGCAATCTAATCTGATCCCAACTCCCACCAGAATATCTAATCTGATCTAATTTGTTAGCGTACCAGTATTCGGACGGTCTACCTCTAATCGGCTTCACATCCTGTTAGCTTGTGTTTGGCGGAATCTTATGCCCCACTTGACCGTTACCAGGACATAATGTCCTCCCAAATACACCGTACACGGCGTAATACCAAGGATACGTCCTTGGTTCTGAGTAATGTGCCAAGAATACCTGTTTTCTCATTCACGCCCTGCAGCTCGTGTCCGGACGGTGCTATTCTGGGTCCATCGGTCGCTTCGGTTCCGATAATTATCATCACAGGCCGAACCGGTGTGGGTCATCGTTTGGAGTCGAACCATCTCATGAAGATATCCACAGCATCCCAACGCCGACAAGAAGCGCAAACAGAAGCACATGGATCCGATCTCGGAAATTCCACCTTCCTGCAGAAAACGAACCGTTGCAACGAACTTCTTAACTCAATCCTAGTTCACGAAAGCCACACACGAAGGACGACCTACTAGCTTGGCAAGAGTTCGATCAACTAAGCAAAACAAGTGACATCAGGATCCCGCATCAGCTTATCTAGTTACCATGTACTCCAAGTTCTGGCCAAAGGGCGGTCTCCCCGGAATCCTGCATCATTACGTGAGTTCCCCTTCACCAGATACACATTTTGAATCTAGCTGACTTGGTGAATGCCAGACTGAAACCCTCGTCACATTCGAATACACAACCTCCACCGTCAGAAAACCACACAGTCTCCTCTTCGTCGGTGGTCTAGGCGATGGCCTCGCAACAACATCCTACATGGCGGACCTCGCGCACGCCCTCCAGCCAACAGAATGGTCCCTCTTCACCCTGAACCTCACATCCTCATACCAATCATGGGGTCTCGGTCATCTAGACCGCGACACGAATGAAATCGCCCAATGCCTAAACTACATTAAAGAATACAAGACCGAGAAATTCGGCAACGGAAAGGTCGTCCTCATGGGCCATTCGACGGGTAGCCAGTGCGTGGTGCACTATCTTTCCCGGCCAAACCCACATACCACTACCCCCTCGTTCGACCCAACGCTGGAGCACATTAAGCGCATGGCCCTTGACGGCGCGATTATGCAGGCCCCTGTCTCGGATCGGGAGGCGATCAAGTGGGTGCTCAAATGGGGTATTGGGGGCAAGTCGCCCAGCGAAGTCCGCGAGATTTATGATAAGGTTGTGGCTCTTGCCAGAGAGGGCGTCGCTAAAGATAAGGATAGCGGATTTGATACATTGCTGCCAATTCATTTGACCGGGACTATGGGCTATCCTCCCAATACACCCCTCAGCTGTCGCAGACTTTTGAGTCTTGTTAGCCCTGATAGCCCTGATTCTCCTGGGGAGGATGATATGTTTAGTTCGGATTTGAGTGAGGAGCAGCTTTCCAAGACCTTTGGGTTGATTAAGCAGGGAGGTCTGCTGAAGCATAAGCTCATGGTTTTGTTTTCGGGGGCGGATCAGTCGGTACCGGACTGGGTTGATAAGGAGCAGTTGTTGGAAAAGTGGAGGAAGGTGACGGATCGGGATGGGGAGGCTCCCATCTGGGACCAAGAGCATAGTGCGGTTATTCCGAATGCTTCGCATGCTTTGAGCAATGATGATCAGGCGGAGCGAGGAAGTTCCTGGTTGAGAAGGTTATGGGGTACTTGCGTGGTGCTGAGCAGGCGTGAAAGATACTGCTATGCAAATAAGTTCTAGAATGTATATATGTGACACGAGCTTGAGAACAAAACGGATAATGACACGCCACTTTAGGAAGCTTAATAATGTTTGGACAATGCTGCAGTAGTGTTGAACCTTTGTTATTAGCTTTTTGGAACCGGATATAGGACAATCAGGATGAGAAGCTATAAATACCAAACAAGTCTGAGGAATTATCCTACCCCTGCCAGAACCGGATCCAACAGAGTCCAAGCAAGCACAAATATCCCATCTAGGAGCATGGAATTGGTTTCGTTCTGGATCAGGTTGTTCCCTCATCTAGCCGCCATTTCTAGAAGACGGTATCAGAGGGCACGACTTGCTTTTTTTTCTGTTATTCATCAACTCTCATATTAACTCGTTTGCAAATCGGATACACATTGAGAATGGCTATCAGCATCGGCAGAATACCCAGACTGAGAGTGAGCAACGGAGTGGATATGCGGGGGACACGCAACGGGAACTACAGTCTACAGATAGTAGGCTTGGCGCAAGGACGGAAACCTAAACTTAAAAAATAATAACTATTCAGCACGTAGATCTAATGATAGTTGATTCAGTAGTCTAAATAAATAATGCCATGGTGGCTAGTGTGAATGGTGTCGTTGGCGAAACGTAAATTTTTTGATGGGTATATGTCTGTATGGAAGACGTAATATATATTTGTCCACCCTCACTCGTTACGCAACGTTATACAGAAAGATTAGGATTAATTTATTCGACGTAGGGATAATTCTTAACATATAGAAATACCTAGAAGGTATGTAGGAGTTATTTATATTATATTGCAACCCTAGACCAAACTTGACCAAACTTCAATAGATAGGACATTAAGGAATCCTGTCTAGATCCAAGACTTTGGATTGGTTCCCGCGGGATCTGGAGAAATAGTAAACCCGAGTCCCAGACCCACCTTTCACGTGACCTGAGAGAAATTTCAGTGTGGAAAATTAGTATGAACCTCTCGCTCTCAGTAGCATCAAAGAGTCTTCTAGCTTCTAAGTCATTGTCACTAATCTGGGAAAAAGAGAGCATTAACATGAATACATTATTATAACAAGAGTTATTCCACAAGGCGTACATTTCTGTCTTGTAACTATTTGGCTCTCAACCACGGCTGCAAATTATTCTCATAATATATCCCCGTACTCGCTTAAAATCAATAAAACCAGACTGTTTCACGGCCCCAAGCAATTTAGATATATCGTATGTGGCACACCTCCTTTCTAAGGCTCACTGCGCGTGAAATCTAGGTCACAATGCTCATTTATCAATGCACTGACGCGTCCAGTCATCGCAGGCTCGAAAATGTCTGCGTGCGAGCATTCCACTTGCTGAACCTCAATGTGCGGACACTGATTTCGCCACCAATCTACAATGCCCGACTCAGCGGCCTCTGGAGTGGCTAAATATAGTGAACGGCCGAGGTAGTTGTCTGGGCATGCGGAATTCTCCCATATATTGGCATGCTTCTGAAAATGTTCCTCGATCATCCCTATTTGGCCGGGGCCAAATAGGCGAACGGCATCATCAACAGCTGTTTGTCTCTCTTCCTCGTCCTTGAAAAACGGCTCATCCGGATTATAACAGCGCGTGTCAACGATCACTGTAGAGAAGGGTGATTTTTTATTTGTTATCTCCAATAATCGAGCCATTTCCAGTACCAGCAGGCCGCCAAAAGAGTACCCAACCAAGACGATGGGTCGGTCATCTTCTAGGTGAGCGTGAAGCGCTTCCAAATAATGTGTGGCCCAGTCGCGCAGGGATGCAGGGCCATCAGGCTTTCCAAAGAAAGGATCAGAGACTTGCACAATATCATATTGCTTGCTTAGAGCCGGCACCACATAGTCAAACACACTAGACTGACCAAAGAAGGGGTGGACCAAAACCATCGTCGCTCGACTGGTGCTGCGTCTGGTGAGGTGCATATAAGCAGGGAGCTTTTGCGGTTGCACGTTACAGAGGATTCTGGATGCTTGGGATCGAATGGTCGAAAAGGAACCCAAATCGGTCAAATTGAGTTGGAAGTTGTTACGTCGCAGTAACGCGAGTAGACTGATGGCGCGCACAGAATCTCCCCCTAAGTGGGAGAAAGGTGTTTCCAGACTAATGACTTCCTGGTCGACACCTACTATAGTAGCCCAATACGACGCAAGTGTTGCCTCCAGAGAACCTGGGGATGGGCGAAGATCAGCCGGTGGTATCTGGCTGGCGCAGAAGGACAGTAAACCTCCGTTATCCACAAGCCTTTGCGCTAGTGCATGTATTGCCTTTCGATCCAGCTTATCAGAGGCTGTGCGAGGAAGTGATGTGTCGAGGAGCTGAACGTGCGCTGGGACCATGTAGGCCGGGACATATTGTGCGATATGTTGCTGGATGGTGCCAGGGGTAATGTGTGTTTGCTGAGAGTCTGATACCTCGATGAATGCAAGCAAAGTTTCCTTGTCTTCCAGGTCCAGCTTGATGACGGCACACGACTGGACACCGTTGAGCTGCCTGGCTGCGGACTCAATCTCGCCCAAGTCAATACGTAGGCCTCGTAGTTTGATCTGAGAATCCATCCGCCCAACCCACTCAATCATACCATCGCCATGGAGCTTGGCAATATCGCGGGATCTGTACATCGTCTGCCCGGCCCAGAAGGGGTCTGGGACAAATGAGCTTTCAGAAGGGTCGCCGTCACCCCGGTATCCCACCGTCACCTGTGGTCCACTGATGCATAATTCACCCGGTACTCCAATAGGGACTCGTCTAGACGTACCTGGCTGTAGGATGTAGACACGACAGCCAGGCAGAGGAAATCCGATCGTGGTAATTTGGGAATGCGGAACAGGTTGGTCGTACGTGGGTGATCGAAGCATACATCCAGTCACAACAACGGTCGTTTCAGTAGGGCCGTACTGTATCCAGAATATCATCTCCGTTGGTGCTTTATCCAGGATATCACTCTTGACGGCTTCACCTGCCACTATCACCTCACGCAAGTGCGCTAACAGGAACCCGTCGGTCGATGCACTGGAAAGCATCATATCGGCCACCGTGGGTGTTGTCATAAGTTGATTTACCGCAAGGGCATCCACCCACCCAGCGAGATCACTCCAGAGGGACTGTTGTCGGGCCAGTAACACGCGCCCCCCTGCAGCAAGTACGGGGAAGATATCGCTGACTGACATATCGAATGTATATGAAGCGATCTGCAGCCTATTCACGGTCCAGGACATATATGTCTCACTTGTTGCGGATTTCATAAAGGATACCAAATTTGCGTGACTGACCATCACGCCTTTAGGCACGCCCGTGGAACCAGAAGTGTAGATAACATAGGCTAGAGAGGAGGAGGTTGGCTTTCTTCCGGATCGGGGGTTGCTTCCCCAAGCGTCCGCTGCGCCAGAAAGTTCGTTAGGGGTGAAAACGGTGGCGCCTGACGAGTGCCCAATGGCATGTAGCTTGTCAGATCCTTTTTGACCGTCCCAAAGGATGAGCTTGGCCTGCGCGGATTGACAGATCATCCTCAAACGTTGTTCTGAATGAGAAATATCAAGTGGGATATAGGCAGCTCCAGCTTTTAGAACTGCCAGCATAGTCACTACCATGTCAAGCCCTTTGTCGAATGAAATTGGAACTAAGGGTTGTTCATCACTCTCTAAATGCGCTAGATTGAAAAAAGCACGGATCATGATTGATAACTTGGTGCTCTCGCTGTCAAGCTCTCCGTACGTCATGAACTGGGAGGTTTCATACTGCACAGCTATCTTGCAAGGATTCTCCATGGCTCGTCGCGTTATCAGATTATGAGCGCACACAGACTCGCTTGCAGTACCCAGTGGTAGCTCTGGGGCTTGGTTTTTCTCGCAGGCAAGCTTTGTTAGCGCTGCCTCTTCAGCGTCACAGACAGGTAACCTGGCCTTGAGCTGAGAAGGACTGTCACCTATAGAGCTTAGAACCTGTGATATGTGTTTCAGGAACCATTCAATATCCTCTGGAATTAGAACTGTTGGATCAAACATGCACTGGAGGCTCAGGTGGCCCGTGACTGGATGGCATGATGCTTGTAGCACGACAGGAAATTCAAACCGACCGAGATGCCCCCCTTGGACCTTGAAGTTATGTGAAGTGTCTCCTCGAGAGTCCATTTCAAAATTAAGTGCCTGCTGATAAACAAACAACACCTGAAACGGCAGAAGATCCGGGGCATCTGACTGTCGTCGGATACCGGGTAAACCTAGCTGGTGGTAGGGTACCGTCTCCAAATAGGAATTCATGGAGTGTTTCACCAACTGGTCAAACGACAGCCTCTGGTGGCTGCTTTCCAATCCTTCCGTCTTTTGCATGCGTATCCTGATGGGGTGTGTTGAGATACAAGGTCCGGCTACGAACCCAGCAGCGCCATCAGCGATAGATCGTCCACTAGATACCTCTCCAAGAACAATATCTTCAATGCCACTATGCTCTGCTACGACTAGAGCTACTGCAGCCCTAGAGATTGCGGCAGGAGTGACTTCTCTTGCTCCAGCTAAATCATGCATGTTCCCCTTCCATGTCAAGGACCGACTCGAGAACTCGGCTATGTCTGTTATTCGACCACTTTCCAATCCTCTCGCAACAGGCCAGCACGCGGCAGGGGCCCCGTTTAGATATCCTTTCCAGAATGAGGTTACATTCTCTTTTGTCATCGCTTGCAGTTGAGAAACAAATAAGCTAAAGGGGATCCTGTTCACCGATGCGTCGGCAGCCCCTTGGGGGACGTGGTCTTTCTCGAGCCGAGCTTTATGATACTCCGCGGAGAGCTCCTGAATAATCCATCGGAAATATGCCTCATCATATAGAGCGTGGTGTATGGTGAATTCAAGTTCAGTTGAGCCAGTCTCGCGTTCTTTGCACACGCTCGGGATGCTTACCAATGCCAACGAGACTGGGATATGGCCAAAGCCCAAAACAGAGTGGTCAATTTCGCTGTTTCGCTCCTCAATAGAGAAAAGCCGCTGAACCTCGCGGGAGTTAATTTGGAAAATGCATTGCCAAAACGTGCTGGATGTAATGCCAAATGAAGAGAGATCCCCAGCAACCGGAATGAAAGCGGTGCGGAGTGTCTCTTCGCGTTCGACCACTTTCTGCCATGCGTACTGTATTGCTTTCACATCAAGTTGCGACTGCAGCCCTAGCCGTACGACGGTCAGATAGCCGGATTCTCCTGGTACAGCTAGGGAGTTGGACAAAACCCCCTCTTGGAACGGAGTGCAAGGCATCAAGTGGCTCACATCACTTGACTGAACACCCCAGTCTTGAAGAGCATCGTGATACTCCACCGTGTCCAACGTAGAGTGTTTTGCCACATGGTCAATAGCAGGGTTGTCTTCCACGCTACTATCTGATTGGTTAGATAATAACTGGGCGGCCAACCTGGCAGGTGTTGGGCAGTCGAAGAGGTCCCTAACAGTCACAGTACAATCCAGGCGTCTCGATAGTCGGGATACCAGGCGTGGAGCCAACAGAGAATGACCCCCCAGGCTAAAGAAGCTGCTTTCTCTGTCAACCGATTGCAAGCCCAATACCTCAGCGAATACACCGCAAATGGCTCGCTCCGTGTCACTGCCATATTCCACCATTGTCGTCCTTGCACTTGACTGCGATTCATTAGCCACCGGTTCTTGGTCTATGACTCTCTGGCGAAGGGCTTGGCGGTCGATCTTGCCACGGTCTGTCAGTGGGAGCTGATCGAGAATTGTAATGGTTCGTGGAATCATGTAGGCTGGGAGCTGGGCGCGCAACGACTCTTTGAGCTTATATATTGACTGTTGGTCTTGTTCACCTTTGACTGGATTGTTTGTAAAGGAGCCGACGTCTCGACACTGATGATCGGTAGGGAAATCAAACAATACTCTCTGTTGTCCACAATTTGGTCCCAGTCGATGGAAGATTGCATCAAATGCCCCACGCTGTGAGCTTTGTCGAGCCCAGCTAATCTCTACCTGGAATCCTGCCTGGTTGGCTATGGCGATGAGATCTCCTGGTAATAAGGCTGAACTTTGTGCTGCTCGGTTTCGGTGACGGACCTGCCAGTGAGTCCGAGTATCCTTTGACTGCGACAGTATGCCTTCTTTGAGGTCATTCACTATATACCGTTCGAGGATCGTCCTGCGATTTGCTATATTTTCCACCCCTACCATGCGGTTGTTATGCTGATGTTTTAGGTACTCCAACAAGCTTCGGGAATTGAGAGACCGCGAAGTATAATCAATCCACTCGCTCCTCTCAACCCGGTGGGTTGTACGCGGCGGTGCTGTAGCATGTTTAATGTGAACGATGGCAGAGTAGCGATAGCAGCTGAGTTCGTTTGTGGCACTCATCAGCTTCGGGAGGATCTCAACGTGTTCTACTCGATCCGGGAATTGACTGGTCAAGGAAGTGAAGAATGCAGGATCCACAAGCAACTCGGTCTCGGCTGCTTTGGATTCTATGATACATTTCCGCACCTGATCCTGTGTGGCTTTTGCGCCAGCGTTGTGCAAGGCCTTTGACACTAGAAACTCGTCATATAGAGGGTAAGACCGGATGTCACCAAAGAATAATGTCTTCACACCCTGCAACCGAATAAGTTTGTGAATAATCCCTGAGAGATAGGCTGCGCTTGGAAAGTATTGCGCGACGGAATTTACAATGACCAGGTCGGGGATGAACTCAGAGATGAAATCCTCGATACGGTCAGCCACGCCTGGATGGACCTTCACTCTCCCTGCCAATCTCTCATCGGTGTTGGCCACTTTCTCCACCATACAAGCGAGCTGTGGCACCAGCTCAATACCAACGTACTCTTCCAGCCCTTTCGTAATGTTGAAGAGGATCATTCCAGTGCCCGTGCCAAGTTCCAAGACCTTTCCGGGGTCTTGCCCATTCAACAAGGTTTGAATGGTATCATCTAGCCATTCGTCCATCTCTGTAAGGTCAATATTGCACCCATCGTACATAGAGAGCCATCCAATAAAATCTCGTCCCAGCCGGTTGGGTTGATGTTTGAAGCTGTCATACGCCGTTGTATCAAATGCAGTCTTCCATGCATCCACTCTCTCCGTCTCTGCCACATCATCGTGAAGCGGATGCAATGTTACGAAGGCTGCGAGATCAGCCTCCGCTCCTACGCTGTTCATAACGACCGCAGCGCTGCGTACTGCACTGTGGGAGAGAAATGCGTGTTCAATCTCTCCCAGTTCCACCCGATGGCCACGAATTTTGACCTGGTTGTCCCGACGGCCAAAATACTCCAACTGCCCATCAAGTGGTCTCCATCGAGCATAATCCCCGGTCCGATATGCCCGGACTGATTCCTGACCAATGACCACGTGTACAAAGCGACCTTCATTCTTCTCGGCATCTGTATATCCTCTTGCTAGCCCATCCCCGATGACAACAAGCTCCCCAATCACACCTTTGGGGACGATATTGAGTGAATCATCCATAACATATGCCCCAGAGTTACCTATTGGCTTCCCGATAGGGACACCATTTACACATTGGTCCTCATCTGGAATCGGGTACATAGTGCTTGCCCCTGTGTTTTCCGTGGGGCCGTACCCATTTAAGATGATGCCCTGTGTCAGTTTCTTTGCCTGGAAGACATCTTCAGGATCAAGACAATCTCCGCCAAGAATTAATAGATCTAAGCTTTTCACAATGGAAGGGGTATCTTGCAGACACTGTTTGAATAATGCAGGGGTGAACATGGCCGCCCGCACGTGGTGGCGAACATATACATCGCTCAGGGCCTTGTAGTCCAGTACTGTCATCGCATCAATACAAACCACCACACCACCACTGAGCAGAGGCATAAACACTTCCCAGGTAGACACATCAAAGGATAGACTGGCCATATGGGCTAGAGGCCTGCCTGCTGCTTTGACGAAATTAAAGTCCTTGGCCAGTCGTACAATTGCACGGTGCTCAGTCATGACTCCCTTGGGCCTCCCAGTCGATCCTGACGTGAAGAGGACACATGCTAAACCAGTAGCAGATATGGAAGACCCTCCTTCAGACTTCTGAATGCCTGATACTTCATGTAGCTGATCCTCCAGGATGCTGGAGAAAGCAACAAAATCAACGTGAGCCATATTGACTTCTGGAATCTTAACTTGAGCTCCATCCACAACAATAACAGTTATCCTTCCATGTATACATGATAGGATACTGCAAATCCGGCTTTGTGGAGTGGAAGCATCTATTGGTAGATACGCCAGATCCGCCTTCATGATTCCTAAAAAGAGAGTGATTGCTTCCGCGGATCGCGCTGCGAGCACCCCGACGATCGTCTCCTGGTGAAGATGGAGGCGGCGCAGCCACCGCTCAATATTATCCGACTGACGGTCGAGATCACCATATGTGACTTCCTTTCCTCCATGCACGATAGCAATACTGTCCGGGTGGGATCGTGCTTCCTGACGAAATAGATCAACTACAGTTGCATCCCGTGGATAGTCGGTCCAACTTATGCTCAGAAGGTCGTCCATGTCATACCGCGAGACGTCATTCAGTAAGGCCATCGAAGCAATGCTTGTGCTTGGTTGGTTCAACCCACATTCAAGAACCGCGTAAAATACCGAGATCATCGCTCTGACGGTTTCAGGGAAGAATATATCCTGAGCAAACACGACCTGGCCACTCAAACCATCCTCTTCTTGGAACAGGTGAAATTCGAGATCAAACCGAGTGGTACGTGACAGAAGGACCTGCTCTGTTACAAGCCCCTCCAACTCGTCCTTCCCTTGTGTTTGCGGGTGAACGGCAAACACCGTACGGACTAAGGGGTTCTGAGTTGTTTCTCTGTCGGGCTGCAGAGCAGACACGATCTTATCGAAAGGAATATCCTGGTGCGAAAAGGCTTCAGTAGCAGTGGACTTCGCCTGCTTCACAAGGTCTTCAAACGTGGTATGACCATCATCGACCTTGAGCCGGATGCACTGCACGTTGACAAAAAGTCCAATTAAGTCGTGGAGTTCTTCCCGGCCTCGGTTGGCAATTGGGGTACCGATAGTCGCATCGTCTTCTCTTGTAAGCCGGTAATGGGTTGCTCTGAAGACAGCCAGTAGAACAATGAAGGGTGTTAGTTGATGTTGCTTACAGTATTGCCGTAATTTGGCGTACATCACACCATCAATATGAACTTCCTCGAAAATTGCTTGCCTAGATGGTGTTTGAGGCCTTCGCTTATCACCGATGAACTCAGCCGGTTTACCCCCTGTCAGCTTTTCAACCCAATACTTTAGCTGGCGATCATGCTCTGCCCGTTGGTTGTCTTGATCCTCCCAAGTCGAGAAGTCGCGGTATTGTATAGGTAGCGGTGGCAGCTGAGCATCGATGGGCCTACCATGGAGTGCGGCAGAGTAGAATATGCTCAGTTCTTTTAAGAGTACCCCGACGGACCAACCATCACAAATAATGTGATGGATAACAATCGATAGAATATGTGACCTCTTGCTCTGGCGCAGAACTAGCCGTCTCCAGCCTGGATTTATTTGGAGGTTAAACGGGGTAGATTGCTCCTCCTTTAAGGCCCGACGCAGACTGTCTTCGTCCATTGCAGACGGCACCTCAACAACCTTCAAGCGACGATGTACGAATGGATGGACCACTTGGACATTTTCCCCATCACGATGCTCGAAGGTCGTCCGCAGTGTTTCGTGTCTTTCCTCAAGTGCACATATGGCAGCTTCTAAAGCATCGAGATGGAGATCTCCCTGGATGCGAAGGCCAAAGGGCATCAGATACCAAGTCGACCCAGGATGCAACTGATCTAGGAACCAGAGTCGGCCCTGGGCGAATGACTGCCTGACTATCGTTTTATCCCGAGGGAGTCTGGGTATTGAAGCGTAGCTGCTGTGGTTGGTAGCCATCGACGCGACTCGTCGTGCCAAATCCCGAGCGGTCGCAAAGTCAAACACATCTTTGAAGGTAAGGTTGGCATGGAGGCGATGATTGATCTTGGATACCGCTCGGATGGCGAGGATGGAATGGCCACCAAGGTGGAGAAAATTGTCTAATACACTCACACGCTGGGCCAGTGCCTCCTCGAAGATCTCACAGATCACTTTCTCTCTCTCGGTCGTGGGTGCGATGTAGGTGTCCTGGCCCTGGCTGGATAGCACGGAGTCTGCCAATAGTTCTGCCGCTCTTTGAGCTAAAAGCTGGCGATCTACTTTTCCGCTAGGGACGCGAGGGAGCTCATCCTCTAATGGGAACAAATAGGAAGGCGTCATGTGAGCGGGAAGTCTGGCGGCAATCCATCCTTTGACTTGCACGGCAGTATTGACGTCCCACCCATTAGCACGGTTTTGATCAGAAGCCTGCACACAGAATCCAACCAGGGTATCTCCAGTGGGAGTGTTCACTACCACCACTGCACAGCCATCAACCAAATTATGCTGTGCTATGACCATTTCAATCTCTGCAAGCTCCACACGTTGACCGCGTATTTTGATTTGACGATCGAATCGACCTAGGTACTCGAGCTTTCCATCGGGATGAAACCTTCCCATATCACCGGTCCGATACAGGAAGCCCTCTGATGCTTGGCTTAACACATCGCGTTTAAAATGCTGCTTTGTTAGCTCCGGCTGGCCAAGATATCCCTGTGCGACTTGTGGTCCCGCCACACAGATCTCACCGATACAGCCAACTGGTGTACGATCGTAAGATTCGAAACCTAGCAGGTGAATCTCATTCTCACCAAAGGGGTATCCAATTGATACTGAGCATTGTTCCTTAGCATGTGCTCTCGGCACACGATAAAACGTTACGTAGAACGTTTCAGTTGGGCCGTATCCGTTCCAGACGCGGCACTCCTCGGGGACATAGCTCATAAGCTGGACATCGAATACTTCACCAGCCAACAATAATACGCTGAGGAACGGAAATGCCATCGGGGCACTCTTGACAGGCTCCCATAGCATATTTGCGATTGTTGGAGTGAGAGATATATGAGAGGTGATTGAAGACTCCACCCAGTGGCCTAGTGATGAGAGTAGCTTCTGTACTGGAACGAGAACTACCCTACCGCCGCAACAAAGTGTCGTTATAATATCTGCCATCGAAACATCGAACGTATAAGAAGCCACGGGCATACGAGAGTTATACCACTGTCCATGGACATCCGTGCTGTTCTTTCGCATGAAGGCAAGTAAATTGCGATGGGTGATCACCACTCCTTTAGGGGTACCCGTCGAGCCCGAAGTAAACAACACATAGGCAATCTGAGGGTCGTCCCTGCGATGCTGTGAGATCTTTGCGTGGCCCGACGACGCCGGTCTGGAATTGAGATCATCAATGGTGACGAGATTGGTGCTTGTTGCATGGCACACCGCAGCCAGGGTGTCACTGCCTTTGTCTCCCTTCCCGCAAATAATGAGCGAAGCACGGGACGTCCTCACTATGCTGATAAGTCTCTCGGTTGGGTATCCGGACTCAAGAGGTATAAATGCAGCACCTGCTCTAAGGATCGCCAGGATTGCAACAACCATGTCCGTGCTGCGTTCGAAGCAGATTGGAATAATAGGCTGCTGTGAACCAACGTCGCCCAATGAGATTAAATAGCTTTGTAGCGCCGTGGACAGGATTTTGCTGCGATGTTGTAGCTCACCGTAAGTAACATATTCATATTGTCCCGATTGCAAAGCGACTTTCTCGTGGATATTCCCTGCGATATCATCGAAGGTATGCGTGATGGACAATGGCCCTGTGGACATACTATCATCGGCATTTTCGTCCTCCACTCTATGACAGCGGCTCCATAGCTTTAGTTGTCTAGTTTCCTGGGCGCTAAGAGGGACTCTCGCCAATCTCATATTATCACTCACGGTCGGGTCCACTTGTACGAGAGCATCGACTGATTGAGATACATGATTTAGGAACCATCCAATGCTCTGTTTGTCGATCACGTCTGGTGCATAGGTGCAATGAAAGACAACCCCTGAATCCCCAGGAAGACAGGAACATTCAACAACGATGGGGAAGCCCATTTGCCCCAAGCTACCCCCTTGTATTTGGAAGGCACCATCTCCAGCAACTCCTTCCTTCTGGCGAAAGGCATCCTGATAGATAAAAAGAACTTGAAACGGAAGTAGGTCTACCCGGCAAGACTGCTCGCGAATGTGTGAAAGCCCGTAAAACTGATGGGGGAGTGTTTCCATGTATGACGCAAAAGACTCGCGCAAGAGCCGCAGCATTGTATATCTTTTGGATCCCCCATCGTCAGCTAATCGAATGCGAACTGGATGAGTGGTTGCGCATGGCCCTCTAATGAACCTTGCTGTCGCATCGCCGTGGCCACGAATATCAGGTCTGCCTTTGGAAACCTCCCCGAGTACCACGTCAGTAACATTAGTGTGCTCACCCACAGTTAGTGCTAATGCTGCACGAACGATCGCGGCGGGGGTAACTTGGATTTTGGAAGCGGCTGCTCGAAGGTTGCCTGCCCATTCTAGCACCGCCGTCTCTGGGGTCGTCACTGATATGATCGAGCTTTGCATGCCTTGTGAAATAGGCCATGTACTGGGAATTGCATCTGCCAGATAGTGTTTCCAGAATTTGGCCGCAGTAGATGTGGACGGCGTTGTGCCTAGCTTCGATTGCACGAAACGCACATAGGTGGAGAACGGAATGCGTTGCCCCCCCTGAACTTCAGGGATTGTTTGATTGTATACGAATGACCGGTATCTATGGGACAAGTCCTTGAACAATAAGGAAAGATACGCTTCGTCGTATAACGCATGATGCATTGTTATGAGTAGCGTGCATTGTTGCCCGTTGGCTTTCTGGCTCTCCGGAGCAACGACGGCAGCAACGGGAATATGGCTGTAATGAGCTTCTCCGTGGAGAGATGGATAGGATGGAAGCGCAGTGGTGTGAGTCGCAGGAATGCTGAGGATCTTCAATGTCTTAACACGACATACTTGCGGTGATTCAGGACACAGGATCACTTGGAGAAGTGAGCTTTCTTGTCCAGGCCCTGGCATATCGACCATATCACCTCGGATAAACATGGTGCGCAACATTTCCTCGTGGTCGACTGTTTTCTGCCAAGCATATTGGAGTGCTTCTATGTCAATTTCTTTGCCCAGTCCAACCGTCATATGTGCCAAGTATCCTGCAGAGCTTCCACTTTCATCGCTGCTGGAAAGAACACCTTCTTGGAATGGAGTACACGGCATGAGACATTGCACCTGCTCAGGATCGACCCCAACGCGTTGCACTATCGTCTTCCAGTCCTCAATGCCGTTGTCGGGGAGGCGTGCCATCTCGTCAAGATCTAGCGTCCAGTCTGCGATGGGCATCAGAGTGGCAGTCTCGCTACATGGTTCTAGCCTCTTCGCTAGCTCAGCAAGACTATGAGACTCTACAATGTCCCGCGGCGTACATTTGAATCCCTTTTCTCTCAGCCTAGCATTTAACTGCAGCGCTGACAGCGAGTCGCCTCCGGATGACATGAAAGACAAGTGTAATGATATCATGTCTTCATCAACCTTGAATAGTCTGGCACATGATTCTTTCAACGTGATCTCTGTAGGGGTTTCGATGCCTCGCAAAATACCGCTATGTGGCTTGAAGTTCATTTGCTTCGACGGAGATATTTCTATGATCGATGCCTCAGGCACTGATTCCCCTTCTTCCAGCCTCCACATCCACGAACGTAACTTCCTCTTGTCCGCCTTGCCACTGGTAGTAAGGGGAACTGTGCGCACATGAATCCATGTGGATGGGATCATATGAGCTGGCAGATGATTTCGACAATAGCGCTCTACATCCTCCGGGACGAATGTCGTGCACAAATTGGGGCAGACTGTATCTTTCGTTGAAATGAACGCAATCAGGCGCGGTAGCTGACCTCCCCGCTTCAGGTGGTAAAGATCAACAATTGCATGGGCTACATGAGGTGAAGCAGAATGAATCACTGACTCAATCTCTGCAGGCTCAGCTCGCTGCCCTCTTATTTTGATTTGGTCGTCCATCCGCCCCAGGTATTCGATCACACCCCCATCCATGAACCGCCCTAGGTCCCCTGTTCTGTATAGCACCTCCCGGCTGTTGTATGGGCTTCGTGTGAATGATCGCTTTGTTAAATCTTCTGATCCCAGGTAGCCCCGAGCAACCTGGGCCCCGCCGATGCAGATCTCGCCAATTGCCCCTACAGGCTGACGGTCATTAAGGCCTGGTCGAAGAATATAGATTTGATTGCCACCAAACGGCCTTCCTATGGGCACCTGGGTGTACGTTTCCTGTGCATCCACTAGGTGAAACGACGAGTAGAATGTTTCCGTAGGGCCGTATCCATTCCAAACACGGCATTCACGCGGAAGTGTCTTCATGATGTTCGGGTCGAAAACTTCTCCTGCCAGTAGCAAGACAGCTACATGTGGTGGAAGCTGTCTAGAGAGAAGGGACGCCAGTGTTGGGGTCATGGATAGAGTAGTAGCTAGCATTTGCTCTGCCCAGTGTGGAAGGGAAGCCAACATTATCTCACTCTTCACCAATGCCACGCGAGCACCAATAGCCAAACCGGTCAACAGGTCCGCCATCGAGACATCAAATGTATATGTAGCTACTGGCATACGGCAACTCGTCCACCGGCCAATGATCTCTTTGTGCCGAGTGGTTATGAACGATGTAAGATTGCGGTGCTCGATCATGACTCCCTTAGGTTCCCCAGTGGACCCCGAGGTAAACAGAACGTACGCAAGCGACTCAGAACGGGCTTTGGGAAGGGCGAAATTGGAGGGGGGCATTGTAGAGAGGCCATCAATGGTGTATATCGAGGTGGACGTGCGGTCAGCAACCGCTTGAAGTTTGTGACGGCTATCATTACCAAGTAAGCCGCCAATGATTATCGCTGACTCAGTCTGACGCAAGATAGCTTCTAGTCTTCCCTCCGGATCAGAGATATTGAGCGGTACATATGCTGCTCCAGCCTTCAATACGGCAAGAATCGCGATTATCATTTCAACACCCCGGTCACAGCAGATTGGGATCAGCGGCGGAGTATATCCGGACCGTGTATCCAGAAGCTGTTGTATCACGCTAGCGATGGTCGTGGACTTCTTGTCTATCTCACCGTAGGTACGAAATGTGACTCTGCAACCTGAATCGCCACCTTTTCTGGGACTTCTGCTGCCCATCTCGTGATGAGATCGTGGATGCAAGGAGGCGGGTCAGATGGCTGCGAGTCGACAGTCTGACTCCATTGAGTAAGCAGTTCGTCTTCCTTGGGAGTGGTCAATAAGACATTGTCCAGTGTGTCATTCGTTTGGTTAGATAGTGCATGGCAGTACCATGCCATCCGCTCCATCAGACACTGCGCAATTCCCTCCTGTAGTGGATGTCGACGCTCCAGACGCATGACCATAACATTGGCCTCTACCCCCTGCTGCCAGCATGATAGAGTAATGGAGGGTGGCAGGCCATCGTCAACACTGTCAAGTTCGAGTATTGAATTCAAGTCATCACCGTCTAGCACGTCCGTTCGAACACCAAAAAATTGAGAAGCGTGTTCACCAAGGCCGGGGCCTCCAAGCCGGCCGCTCGAGCCACACCATCAAGACCAATCGTACTGTGTAAGCCAGCCAAGCGAATTGCATCCTCCGTCGATTGCAGAAGGTCTATAACCTTACCATGTCGGCTCAGTTGGGTACGGATGGGCACAGTACTGATACAGGGGCCGATAATATCTGCCACACCATCAAGTGGAGCCTGTCGCCCTGAGAATAGCATTCCATGAGTCACATCATTGGTGTCAAGGACCTCCGAAAGGACAAGACTCCATGCCAGTGACACCAGTGCCGCAGGTGATATGCAATTTTGCGATAGAACTGGCAGATTACAGGCCTGCTCAACGACCACCGCCTCGGCGTCCATGGGCCTTGAAGACATCAACGAGAGAGGAAGAGACAGAGGCTGTACTCCATTCAAGGCCTCTGACCAAAACTGGCTATGATCATGGTTTTCACGCGTATCGAAAGCCACAAAGCGGGCAAATGAGCCAAATGAAGGCCGCGGAATCAACGATTTGGTCGAACAACCGTCCACAAGAATCTGGGTCAGCTCCTTGAAAAGAAGATCTTGGCTCCAAGCGTCAATAAGGGCATGGTGTAAGAGCCAGATTAACCTTGCCTCGGACCCATCAGCGGTGCGCACTACTCGCACGTAGAACGCTTGCTTCGTTGGATTTCCATACTCAGGGTTGCAGAACAGGCTTGTGACTACCTCCTCCAACTCGGAATGATTTCTTACCTCTACTTGCCCAATCGCATTTGTGGCGAGAGTGTGAGTACCACGCAACACTAGAGCTAGCGGCCCTACTTCTGGGTCGATATGAAAGACCGTGCGCAGTATCCCATGCCGCTCTATTAGCGTGTTGATGGCTCCCTCAATCTGTGAGCATATTGATTTATCTGTGGGGATGCGCCAGACGCGGGAGGTAACATATGATCGCGATTCATGATCGGCAATGCCTCATACAGAAGAGCCCGTTGCATTGGGGTACACGGAATTATATCCTCAACTGTATCTTCAGCGTACAGAGAAAATACACGATCGAAGCAATCGGCTGGCAGAAGCCCGAAAGCTGACGTCGATGAGGCACTAATTGAAGTCTTGCCAAGGCGATCCTTCTCGGCGAGATGCTGACAGATGTTTGTTACCTGTTCACCCAAGAGTGCGGCGATATCCTCGTCATTGATCGTACCATCCGACGGCCATGTGGCCTCAATAAAGACTTGCCCACCATGCACATACAGCTCAAATGCGGCATGTGACAGAGGCACGGCATATGGACAAGTCTCTATCCAGCATAAGCCTGGAACTTGGACCGGATGTAGCATCATTTCATCATGGCCGTGGGATCCTTCTCTCACGCCTGATAATTGAAAATCAGTGGCATAATCTCATTATTTGAGGTATGGGTTGTACTCCAGCGGGAAGCTACGAAATGGCCAAACCCTCTGTCGTTTTCCATCAAAAGACGGCGCTGATCTTTAACCCGACGCACCACGGACTCAATAGTCAATACCCCACGCCCACAGTCAAGTATCATAGGTAGAATTGCGGTAAACCAGCCTACTGATCGCGAGAGGTCGGCGGTGTTAGTTCCGGTGTGTCGACCATGTGTTTCCAATCCAACTAGAAGGCGGTTGATGGCACCTGCGAAGTGCTTGGATATCGTCATTGTTAGCCCTGCCAGTAGCAGGTCCAGAGGTTCCGTCGAGAACACGTTGTTTGCAAGGCCAAGAAGTAACTCCGTGATACTTGAGTCCAGTCTAGCGAATGTTGTGGTTCGACTCACTGGAATTGGAACAAGCCCTGGCTGACGAACCCAGAGGGGCAATTGATCGGAAGCAAATAACGACAGTGAGCCTTCCGGTTCTTCTGTGGTACTGTCTCTGGTCAGCGAGCCATCTTGGTACTTCATCTGGCCTTCCCGCGTCCACGCGAGGAAGCTCATTGTTGTGGGCTGCAAGGCGATAGATTCCATTTTCTCCTTTGCCTGTATCAAGATGTTCAGATCCTCACGAAGAATTTGCCAAGAGACAATGTCAATGACGAAATGATGGACGGTCCAAAACAGGAACATACGGTTGTCACCATCCAGGCAATAGAGGCTGGCGTCCATCACCTTACCCTGGCGGATATCTAGTCCCGTCAGGCGGTGGTGGATTTGATCTCTTAGGGCTTCTAGTGTAAGTGTCCGCGGGCTATCCAGGACTAGCGGCATTATGTCTGAGCAAGGAAGTATCCTCATTGTCCACTCCTCCACGGGAAGATCTAAGCTCCAATGAACTATTGCGCGTAAAGAATGGTGATGATTGCGAAGACGCTGTAAGGCAAGTTGAAGCCGCAATGGGGAGACTCCGGTCACGTCCAGCAGCACAGACTGATTAAAATGATCTATCACCTGTTCTCCTCGCTGGACAGCATACTTTTGTTGGATGCTAGCGTACTTTACAGCAATGGGACCTAGTGCTACCGGCTCGGTATGCGTATCAATATGTGTTGCGTCGTTGGCGATCTTTTCGGCCACAATTGCGTGGGACACCGCACACTGTGCCTGTGAACAGATTGTGGATGCGTTGCTCACATCAGTCATATATAGCTTCAGCCCAGACTTACGCAGCAACGATAACAGATGAATTGCGCGAATTGAGTCACCCCCAAGACGAGAAAATGCGACATTGGGGGCGATATTTGCCTTGTCGACGCCAAGAACCTGGACCCATGCGTCAGCGATTCTGTCTTCAATACTACCTTGCTCCCAACTTATAGCATGATTGGCATGCTGGCTAGTAAATAGTTTTCCTTCAAGATCCATCGCCTCTGCTCGAGCGGCAAGTTGTCGTCGGTCGATCTTCCCGCTAGTTGTAAGGGGCATGGCTTCGATAGGAATCAATCGAGAGGGAACCATGTAGCTCGGCAGGCGGCTTTCGAGGTGATGATGCAGTATAGACTCTGTTTCCCTCCAGTCCTGTGAGTAAGAGCTTGTCTGGTGGTCCTTCCGGGCTTGGATAAAGGCAATGAGGCCCTGGCCCTCATCTCGATCTCGCACAATTACCGTACACGCGGTGGCTATCACATGCTCGAGGCATACTGACTCTATCTCAGATACCTCAATTCTTAAACCACGCAGCTTGATCTGGCTATCAATTCGGCCATGGTGTTCTATTGATCCGTCTCCACAGAACCGTCCAAGATCCCCACTCCGGTATAAGCGTTGGCCGGCAGCATGAGGATCACTAAGAAAAGACCGGGACGTCAGCTCCGGCTGACCTTGGTAGCCTCTTGTGACTTGAGGTCCTCCTATGCAAATCTCTCCTATCACACCGACGGGAACCTGTTCTAAGGTCTCTGGGTTGAGTATGTATAGCCGACAGCCCCCAAAGGGGTAGCCAATTGGGATATTGCGACGATGTTCATCTCCTTTGCGAATTCTATAATGCGTTGCATAAATCGTGGTTTCTGTTGGGCCAAACACGTTATACACATCACATCCACGAGGTAAATGCGGTAGTATGCTGGGGTCAAAGGCCTCCCCGCCAATATGAAGGGTACGAAGGTACGGTAGATCGATGCCCGTCAGGAAGTTTGCCGCCACGCGAGGCGTGATAAAGAGGTGGGTTATATTGGTTCTTTCTAGCCAGTCGGGCAGAGCGGCCAGAAGTTCATGGGTTTGCCCGATGATCAGCCGCCCACCACATCCTAGCGTGCCAAATGTTTCCCCTGTGGCTGCGTCAAAAGTGCCTGTTGCGAGCTGCAGCCGTGCCGAAGTCCAAGTTCCTACGGCCTCCGGCTCATTCGCCTCCATGAAAGCCGCTAGGTTGCCGTGTTCGACCATCACTCCTTTTGGTTTTCCCGTCGATCCAGACGTGAAAATCACATAGGCCAGAGATGCCGGAGTAGGCCTGAACGAGGGTTTCCTCATTTTCTGCTCTCCATGCAAAGCTAGAAGCCTCTCGATGCTAAGAAGTGCAGATTTCCCCTGCTTGCTGGCGGCCTGAAGCTTTTCCACCGTCCCAGATTCACCATCGCCCAGCATCACTCTTGCACCCGATAAGGAGAGGATTTGCTCGATGCGAGCCTGTGGGTGGTTTTGGTCTATTGGTAGATATGCTGCACCTGCTTTTAGTACAGCAATCATAGCAATGACCATATCGGCGGCATTGTTGAAGCAGAGGGCGACAATCTGTTGGTCTTGTGATTGCTCAAGCATGAGGCTGTCTAGCCAGTTCACCAGCGCGTTGGACAGCTCGTTACATCGCTTATTCAACGCATTGTATGAAATGAACTCGGACTGATTCACTTGAAGGGCGATCTTCTGTGGGGTAGAAGCGACCTGTATTTCGAAGAGCTCGTGCACGCAGAGTTTCGCTTTCCCTGTGGACGTTAAGCGGAATGGGGTCTGTTTTGTGGACCATTCTTTCATATTTCGTCTCATATCCTCGTCCATGAAATCTGTCATGAGCATTGCTGGGTCTGAAAGTTCATCCCCAGCGGCTGAGAGCATGTCGAGCGTGCGACATAGGGATCCCAGAAACCAGTTGACGTCGTCATCACCAAGGTATCGCCGGTCAAACGTGCATTCAAAAGCCAGCTCACCCGTCTCGTTATGGCATCTTGATTCTAGTATGAGGGGAAATCCAAGATTTTGCAACCTAGCCGACTCCACATGGAAACGAGTAGCAGACGTATACTCTACAAATGCCTCTTGGTGGGCATATAGAACCTGGAAGGCCATTAGATCTGGATCTGCCATTTCTCGGTGGATGTTGGCTAATCCATAATGGTGATAAGGTATTGTAGCTAGATAGGATTCCATGGCCTGAGCCACAAGCTTCGGCACCCAAGATGACGATTTCCGATCAATCTGGATGCGGACAGGGTGTGTGGCGAGGCAGGGCCCGAGGGTAAAAAGGTCATGATCGGATCGGCCACTGGACACTTCGCCAAACACCACGTCGTCTGTTTGAGAGTATAGAGCCAATGCTAGAGCCAATGCACCACGTGCAATCGATGCAGGGGTTGCCTGAACCCTCTGGCTCAAAGCAATGATGTTTCCCGTCCATGTTTTGGACACGCTGGTCTCTGTGTGCTGATCCTTTCCTTCTCGTGTCCTTCGAATTCCATTTGCGACAGGCCAACTGGGGGGTACCATTTCGTGCATGTAGTCCTTCCAGAATCTCTTTGATGCCTCCAAATCTTCACTCCAGAGGGACTCTACAAACGCGGAAAACGGCTGACTAGGGGGAAGGGCAGCCTGTGGGCTTCCCGTTTCCAGCGCTTCGTAAATGATGGAAAGCTCCGATACAATTCTAGAAAGCAATGCTTCATCATATAAAGCATGGTGGATCTTGATAGTTAGCTTGAGAGGATCATTGACAGATCCCTGGCTGATTCCCGCTGACAGAGGGACTACTCCGAATTTGAAGGCGATATCCCCGTTATTCAGGCTAGCCACTCGTCTCACGTCCTCGGCGGATTGATTCAGAACGACCTGAAGAATGTTGGACCCACTGACTAGCGGATGTTGTACTTCCGAGGATGATACAAAGACGGTCCTCAAGATATCACAATCAAATATCAATTGTTTCCAGGCTGCGTGAAACGTGTTCAGGTCTGTCGTACTTCCTAGATGTACGGTAATAGTGGCGAAGTATGCGGACGTGTCCCCGGTAAGGTTACTCTGGATAAGACCTTCTTGCTGTGGGGTGCATGGATAAATGGTCTGAACCATGTCAACAGGAATGTTGGAGTCAGCGACGATCTGTTCCCAACTGTCCTCATGGTAAAACACATTTGTGATATATCTTTCTGGGCTACTGGACGGAGACATAGCCCTTGCTACATCACCAAGATTCATGGGGCCAAGCAGGTCCCGTAAGGAACAAATCATCCCCTCTTGTCGCAATGCGGCCAAAAGACGCATTGCCAAGAGAGAATTACCACCAAGAGATAGGAAGGTGGAGCCCAGGGAGACGACATGAGGTGTTGCGCCTAGTACGTTTGCGCAGGTTGCCACTATGAGCCTTTCCGCCGGGCTTGTTGGCAGCCGATTTGTTTTTCCTCGTGTTTTCCATGGCGCCTCTAGTACATGGAAACCTTCAAGGGTACCGCCGGTTGCAATACTTTTCATCCACGCAGATAGAGTGCCCCTATTCAGCTTGCCGCTAATTGTAAGGGGAAGATATGGAAGTATGATCCACACTTCTGGAATCATGTATGGTACCAACCGCCGTTGGCAAGAAGGTAGTATCTCTTCCTTGTATGCAAGTTCGATGTCTTGCACACTTCTGCTGTCTTGTGGAACGAGCCAGGTAATGAGAGCCTCGCGATCGTAACCTTCGAGGTGGTCGACACTGACAGATATCTGTGCGATGAGAGAAGAGGACTGCCGGATTGTCACCTCGACTTCACCGGTTTCCACTCGCAGTCCGCGCAGCTTGACCTGGCCATCGGCTCGCCCGAGATGTTCCAACATACCTCTGTGATTGAGGCGTCCTAAATCACCAGTGCGATACATCCTTTGCGATGGACGAAATGGGTCCGTGACAAACACATGGTTTGTCACATCAGGCTGCCCTAGATAGCCGCGTGAAACCTGAGGGCCAGCGACACATATTTCTCCGATCGCATTCGGAGGAACCGCTGTATCGCTACTTCCGTGCTGTAATATATAGATTTGGCACTGGCCGAAGGGTCGACCAATGGGCGCATTTGTCTCCCCCTTCTGCAGTACGCAGCAGGCAACATCCACAACGGTTTCAGTAGGACCACAGGTATTCCAGATTCTTGCTTCGGCTGGGGCCTGGTCCAGAAAGCTCTGGTGGAAAGGCTCACCACCAAACATAAGCACCTGCAACCGGGCAGGTACATGCGAAATGATAAGATCACCAATCGTTGGAGTCAATGCAAGATGAGTAACCAACAGCTCCTCCAGCCAGTGATTCAAATTTGAAAGCATTCTGTTGCGCTGGACCAGGGCTAGACGGCCACCGCGGTATAGATTAGCGAAGATATCTCCAATGGATGCGTCAAAACTGTACGCGGCCAGCTGCAGTCGAGTCGATGTCCATGTCCCATCTGCATTTCCCTCTCCAGCTTTCATGAATGCAACTAGGTTTCTGTGTTCCACCATGACTCCTTTTGGAGTACCCGTAGACCCGGATGTGAACAGTACATATGCCAGAGACGATGGAGACAGGTGCTCCGGCCCAGATAATTCAGCGGTGGAATTATCCTGCTCGGAAAGGCTCTCAATAGAAGTCACCAGGATTCCCAGCTCACTGCATGTTGAGTGCAGAATATCCTGGAGATCTGTCTGGCCTGCAATGACCACAGTGGCATGGCAGGCGCTTAGTATACTTGCAAGCCGCTCCCTGGGCTGGGAAGGGTCTAATGGCACATACGCACCGCCCGCCTTGAGGACTGCCAGAATAGCAATTACCATATCTACACTTTTGTCAAAACAGATGGGGACAAGTGGTTGGTTTGCCGAGTCGCGGGAAAGGCAGTTCTGCAGGCCTTTGGCCACTCTACTACTCGCGTTAGAAAGTTCAGCGTATGTCATAAACTGACTATGCTCCGCTTCCAAGGCGATCTTATTGGGCCACTTGCTAGCGGCTTGTTCAATCAGGTTGTGCGCTCTAGCAGGGTCACCCGTCAAGGCCTTCGGGCTCAACGCCAGGTAATGTTGTCTGTAATCTCCCTCGCGACATATTTCCGATACAGCTGTGGCAAATGTCTGGTGGTCAATGCTATCGCCAGTGGCTTGCATCCACGTTAAGGTTTGGCAAAGGAACTCAAGAAAGGAGGAGGCAAATTGCTTGTCGAACCGGTGCTGGTGGTATCGTATCTTGACAAGGAACCCTCCTTCCCTTGGGGGTAAAATCTCTACAATAAAGGGGAGGTCGTTCTGCGCTTTTCCCCCAGTCCACTCCCAGTTATTGACACCATTCGAAGGATATGATTGATTTGTTTGGCAGACTAGACAGACGTCGAGGTCCCTGCTGCTCTCGGGTAAAAAGGACTTCAGCTGGCTAACACTGAAGTTATGTTTGGGGTCTTGGGATGAACGCAAGAGCTGCGCACACTCTCCGAGCTTCGTCTTTTTCTTCAAGTGAATATTTCGCACCTGAGGGGTCAATACCGGTCCCATTACTTGCTGGTCGGAAGGAAATAGTCGGCTTCGAGCGGAAGTGATTTCCAGGAATAAGGTGTCATCACTATTCCTAAAAACACACATTGCCATAGCAAGAGCGACACGAACAAGCCGTGCAGGAAAAGCTGGTCGATCCGGTAAACTGATATCAGAAGTCATAGAAACTTCACGAGTCACCTCCCCCACCCGTAGATCACCATTCTGAGCTGGCCCAGGGCTGAGTATGGGCGATGTCTCAATCTTCCCCAGTCGCTCGCGGAGTAATGTCTCATCCTGCCGCCAATCGTGCTCTTGAAACTGTCGTGCTAAAGAAAAAAAATCAGACCCCTTTGAAGGAGCTCCACAGATCTGCATCTCTTCCTGAACCAGTTCTAGAAGAGCCCTCGCCGACCACCCATCGAGCAGTGCATGATGATACATCAGGGTGATATAAGAGTCTTGCTTTTGCTGACAGACAGTCAATGAGAACTTCCACGGCATAACTCCATCCCACCCATCTGTTCCTATGGCTTCAAGTTCAAGAATACCGAAATGATTCCCCTCGTCGATAGGCTCCAGGCTGAGTAGTCTCGCCCGTTGGAGGACGTATGTCTCATCCAGCACCGCAATTCGTACATTTGTTGATGAATGGCTTTCATGAACAAAGACAGATCGCAGTACCGCATGCTTCCTTGCTACTGCCTGAATTGCTCGATTGAGCTGGTCTGGGCTCAAGATCGCGGGGGTGCGGAAATGGTAGGTTTCAAAATAGGATTCGTGGGAAGGGTCAGCGAGTGTAGATAATATCATCTCCTCCTGCATGACCGAGGGAGCATGTATCGATTGCACACATTCTGGCAATGGGCATTGTTCGTTTCCGAGGGAGCCCATGCTGCAAGTTACGGTGAAGTTCCTGGTGGGAGAAATAGAAAACGATAGCTGGCAGTTGTGACAAAGAATGGACAAGTATCGTCGCTCTGACGGTATACCTACTTATATTGCAGGTTTACTCAGAATAGAGACAGCCTTGCGAATAACTGACAAACAAAAGAATGTCAGCTTGACCGCTATGTCAATGTGATATGTACTGCTCTAAGATGCAACATTTCGGGAATGTGAGCGCTATCCCAGCAAGATGCAAGGAGTGTTGATGTTTCGACTGCTTCTGCCCAAGTCGGGAAATAGTTCATGACGTGACAGCCTATTGCAGGAATAGGTCAATACCGAGTCCTTTGAAATCTTTATTGCAGAAGAGCATATATATTACAAGCAAGGCCAGAAGCCCTGCTACTGTCTTCAAATGACCTCCCAATCTTCCATACAACTCCATATATCCTCCCCATCCATTTTCAACCACTTGCCATGCCGACGCTTTCCGGGATTTACACGTCGCTGACAGGCCAAACCTTGGCCATAGACGAGCATGGCCGTCTCAGTCTTATCCACGACGATAAGCAGAAGATTAAGCTACGTGCAGATGCAGAGTTCTGGCTTTGTGAGGATGATGGGGTCAGTACTCTCCCTATAACCCGCAACTGTTGCTAGAGAACCCCGTACTAAATGCTGCCCTCGGTCAGAAAATTGGCAAATTCGGATCTCCCAAGAAGGTAATAGATCTACCAGGAAGTCTCTTTCACGTTCAGACTTGCGCGACATCGGGGCTAGTCATTGCTTACTTTTTTTCACAGGTTTTCCTGCACTTCCAGGGTAAGGATTACCATATCTGGGTGGAACCGCGCGGCTTTAGTGATGGTTCATATGAGGTATGCAAAGCGAACTTAATCTGAATACTTCCCTTTTCCGAATCGTTTTTTCCTCCTCACTTTGGGTGCATCGCTGACCAAGGGTGATCCATTGGAACAGTACGGACTAATTCCGATCGAACCCAATGCCCAGTATAGCAACCGATTTCTCGGCCTCAATGAAGAGGGCAATCAACTAGAGATTCTGCAGTCCTGGTCCGATGCAGCAAAATTTCGATGCATAGAGTGATTATGGTGAAAATCAGGCAATTGCATTCTGAGTCGATCGATCTCATTCATTTTATGCTAGGGCAAGCTTGCATGAGCATGATTGCCTTTTCTGGTTGAATGTCAGGTCGGACTCGACTCATGTCTATGTAAAGTAACAGCTAGACTTCCCATGTTTTTTTTTTAAATTATTCACCCAACTCTCGATGATATGATCTCTAGCTCAGTGGTGTAATCTACCATTCCTACGAAAGTATGTCCTCTAGAAAGATGAGTGTTTCTCTTATAAGATGTAAGACACAATTCACTCTCATAGCATCATAAAAACCAACACCTATTCCGATCAGAAAGAGATGGGGGGTAGAATATACTCTATTTTTATTCCACTTTCAATAGTGCTAGCCTTGGAAACTTTAAGTACAAATTATGGATTAGTCGGATTCTTTGAGATGTGTTAGTTGAATATCTGTACATAAAATCGAGGCGTGCAAGACGGCGCCAAGACCTGTCTGTCTGTAAGGTAGCCCAGGGTTCCGCGATGATCAATAACTGCGGAGGATCTCGGGACTGCTAAAAACTTGGTTTCTTCCTGGAGTTACGATTGGCTAAGCATGGCTGATGCATACGCATGCATGTCTCGACCTGTTCTAGGCTTGCTCTTCACGCATTCATTCGGATAATTGACATGCTCAGCCCCAAGAGCCTCCACTCACCGAACATCAGGTTTGGCAAATCAAAATCAAGGACAATGTGGGGGGACTGACGAGAAGACCCATATCTCTGTCGATCATATAGTGAAATACTGAGGTAATATGAGATGGAAAGGGAACTGCGAAGCGCAGAACATGGGTGACACCGTGAGGGAATTCCTTGCCATATTCCCGAGGCTGGAATTCGATCCCTGCTCTCATTGATCTACAAAAATACTAAACCAAAAGGGTTAGCTGGGCTATGTAGCTCGAAATCTTGCTTCAATAAACTTCCGTTCGGCCTCCGCTATCTGCAGTCGATAGGTCAGAAAACCCTTGGCATGGTGCCAATAATCACTCACTGAATCCCCCTTTGGTGCATCCTTACTGTTTCTCTGGGTCACGCCGGGGTTGTTGAAGCCAGATGTGATTTCTGTCCCATTTTTGACAGGAGGGACCTCACTCAGCCAGCCAGCAACATTCCCAACAGCTTGCAGTCTGCAGCATCATCACACTCAACTCCCCTCGTCTCACATCGCACTGCGCTCTCTGGGTATAGATCTACATAAAAGCGGTAAAGTATCTCTGATATCCCTGAGGCCGAGTACCTTTCATTGGATTCGGATTACGCCACGCTCGGAGTCAGGAAGCCGAAGGGGCAATCCACTCTCAATAATAAAAGTCCTCACCGACCTTCCTCATCCAAATGGGATAGAACTAAGGACTCTGTACACTACCAGTGACTCGTTTCCTGCACCGGGATGCATGAGGTGTATCATGAATTCAGCCGGATGTGCCCTCAGAGGTCAACTCGAAGCGCAAGAATTAGGACATCTCCGGAGAGTAGAACAAATAACGTCTTCTATCGACCTTATTACATGATCTTTGTTGATAGGTTGTGCGTACGTTCCGCAGGTCACAGACAAAGAATGCAATGTCCCAGAGCCAAAGTACCTATACGTATATGCAAGCTCCTTGCCTCGACATTCATGGTCTCACCGGTATGTAGAACACACAACTAATGCTTTCGCAAGTCTGACAAGACGCAGCCGATACTCCAGGGAACGATAATCACGTATTGGGTGAAAATTTATTTAGCATCCTCTCTACATTCTACGTGTGCCTCCTCCTACCAGCTCTGTTAACTCGGCTTTGGGAAGCACTAGTACCCTGAATCATAACCATGGGATCACTTGGAGAATTAGAGTCCTCGGATCGCAGGGGAGGTCTCTGTCGTGAAGACCCTGTCATGAATTTGACCAGTACACTGGCCAGTTATGTTCAGCATCTCGAAAGAGAACACGCCCAATCCCCATCACTGAAGACACAGACTTGCAATGATGTCGCAGAAAAGTCGAACATTGTCGCGCTCTGCAATAAGGTCATCGCCATGACCATGGACCCGGAGATGTATCTCTTCACCACATCCTTACAGGTAGGACGGCTGGCCATGATGCTATAAAACAAGCTTACTTACCTCTCTAAACGCTAGTTTCACTTCTGCTCGTGCCTGAAAACCGCAGTGGATCTCAAAGTACACGAACATATTCCCCGGCATGGAGCAATCGGTATTCAACAACTCGCCGGGGCTGTGGATGCCGACGAAACGCTATTGAGTAAGTGCAGTATAGCGTAGGGCTACAAAGTCAGAGACTAATCTATCACGCAAATTAACAGGGCGAATCATAAGGATGCTGGTGAACAAGAGCGTATTTGCCGAACCGGAACCCGGATACTATGCCCACACCCCGGCCTCCTTGGTTATCTGCGCGCCAAACATGACGGATCTTCTCAGCCATAGGTTTGTCCTGCAGCCAAGCTGGCTTATAGCAAACGAGAAAGGCTAACTCCTGGAACGCTGAGCAGACTGGAGGATGGGTTCCGAGCTGCCAGCCGACACGCAGAGGCACTGGCGAAGTTACAATATCGGGATCCTACTGCGGAGGATGTTCTCGGCTTTCAGCTAGCCTTTTCAACTACCAAGAATTATTGGGACTATGTGGAGGAGGATGACCCTGAGTGCGGACAGCGGTTCTCCAAGGCGATGCGGGCAGTGACAGTCAACAAACTGGGCGATGTTCCCAAGCTGTATCCATTTGACAGGCTTGTCGACGATGGCGGAGTGATTGTTGATGTTGGTGGCGGAATGGGGCAGGTTGCGCAGAGCATCCTCTCTCACTGGCCTGGACTCGGGTTGAAATGTATTGTTCAAGATAAGTTTGCATGCAGGAGTGGTAGCACGCATCCCGACTTGGAGATGCAAAGTTATGATTTTTTCAGTCCACAGCCGGTTAAAGGTACGGCAAGCCCCCATCTCCCCATTTCCTTTAGTGATCGTGACGGATTACCGCCACAATATGTGTCTCTGAACTCACCGTTATTAGGAGCCGCGGCGTATCTCTTCCGTCATATATTTCACGATTGGCCGGATGATGCCTGCATAAAGATCCTGAAGAACACCGTGGAGGCGCTTGACTCTGATCGGAGTCGAATACTCATCTGCGACCAGATCATGGAGGAAAAGAATCCGTCCACGGCGGCCGTGCTTTACGACATCGATATGATGTGTTTGTACGGCGGCAAAGAGAGGACCTTGTCGGAATGGGAGGCATTGTTGAAGGCTGCGGACCAGAGATTGGAAATCAAGAACGTATTCAGGAGCCCTAATCAAGTCTCAGGTATTCTTGACGTGCAGGTTTGCTGCGATTAGTCGGCGTGTGTTTAATGGTTGGGAGTTAAAGATATCATGAGCAAACGGAACGAGTCTCGGGCATGTTGTTTATTCATAGGAAACCAAGTATATCTATTACTGTGGTATTTGTCGTCGTCGATTACTTTGAGCCATGATGCGTAACAAAAACATAGAGTCAACCTACGGTCTTCGTTGGTTGAGGATTTTGACGGCCTTTAGCCAATGTATTTTTGTTGGCTAGTGCCTCAGGCATTGAGCCGTGCCCTAAAGGTGTAGCTCTGTTCATAGCAACGCGATATTGGGTCAAGTATCCTGGATAGAAGCCCTTCTATGCCTAAATCGGTTAGACCTTCCTAATCTGGTATGGTGTACGACGGACTTGGAATTGACCGGCTAAACTCTTCATCTCAATTGCGTCTCCCAAGCAAACAGATAGAGTGATGACAGGGTACACTAGTAAAAGAAAACACGATCTTGCTACTTCAAAATTAGCAATACCTACGGCTTCGTGTAACCTTGTACTTTAAAGCTATACGAGATGTGTTCGAAGAAGCGCAATTTGAAAAGTTGCTGGGTACTTTCAAGCATGGACCCCGAAATATATATACATATATACATTCTGGACCTCGACTTTCAACTTGCCTTTCTTCTCTCGGAGCTCAAAGCTATGGTTCAACCCGAATCAAGTTTCCCTGTCCATCCTTTCAAGATTGACCTTGAGTAATCCTTTGGTCTGTCACAGTAATGTAGTGAGGTTGAAGTTGGTGGAACACTCGAAACTGTGGTTGTTTCGGATCCGAGCCGGACCCGAGACCCCGAACCTAAGATACCAGCATATTTGTTATTTCCGGGGATGGAATTCGCGCGACGCTGCACGTTCGGGGTACCGATTCTGCTGCTCTCCTGAAGACACAGAATTCTGGTGTATACTTGGTTACGTTCATATCTACGGAGTATTGTTGACAGCGTTAATAAAGTTCTTTCATATGGAGTATAAATCTCGATTAAATAATCTAACCAGCCTACCCAACACTGCACATTTTTTCCATTTGCTCCCAGGGTCAACCGTGGTTTGGCCTTCCCCTTGCATAAAACATTCCTCCGACCACACACACGCGAATTGAACTTGTTTTGTTGGGTATCTCACGTCCCAAGGGCATTCGCTCTTGCTTTCTCACTTCTTCTAAACGAAATTGCCTTAAAACCCGCTTAACTGTTGAAGACGAGATATCAGAACTACTGCTTGCACATCGGTCCTTATGGCTAAGCTCAGGCTTCCGGCGAGCTAGTAGATGGATATAGTGCTTAGTAGAATGGCTCAGATTGGTAGGTCTACCCTTTCTCGGGAGCGACTGCAGGGCGTTGCTGCGTAGAAGGCGTTTTTTGGTTGCATAAATTATATTGCGACTGACGCCGAGTCTCTTAGCTTATTTGAGTCGGGGATTCCTGGTTTTCTAGAGCAGACAAAATAGCCGCCCGAGTCTCGGTAGAAAGCTCAGTATTCGGCTTTCGATTGCCACTAATTTCTGGTTTGGAAGCTGTCATTTTGATCCCAATGGTCAGTAGTTGAAAAAGCTGGGACTTTTTGACGCGTCGCCAAAACGCGCTAGTGTGTTTACACTTTGACCCACCTTGGATTCAGTGATGCTTGGCTTGGTGTGACGAGGTAGCAAACAATTCTACATTACTTTATGGGAATGATGATACTAAAGTAATCTAAGACTCTGGATTTTGTACATGTGAATGCCTCATTTCTTGGTCAACCAAGAATTGTACCGACCACATCTTTGCCTACACCCTCAACGGTGGGCGCTATTACACCCAGGCTGCCTGGCTCGGAGATTGGCAACAACTCATCAGTATGCGAACAATCTGACTGCATAGCCTCGCCATTCATCCTCTCCTCTAGCCAAGCAAACGCTTCCAGAAACCCATCGGCTTGCAGAAGTATATGCTCGTGTGTCAAGACATTCTTATATCTGACCACCGTGCCGCCCGCACAATACCGCGACGCAACGATCTCCGCCGTGCTGGCGGGACTGATCTCATCGAGAGCCCCCTTGTACACGAAGATCGGTATCTTAGGTGGATTCTGTCCGAGGTTGTTATCCTTCAAGGCCTGCTGCATCTGAGGATAACTTAGGATGCTAGGATCCTTGAAATAGGAGAAGATATCCTGGAAGGGGTATTCGATGACATTTGCCACGAAACAGTTATGGTTCGCATCGTAGAACTTCGCCTTTTTGCTCTCGACAAGCTGCTCCTCGTATAACGCCGCGATGTCGGGATATTCATGCGCTATGCCGTTGAAGCCCCCAAAGTCTAGCCCCACAAACGGGCCCTTGTTAACGGTATATGTGACGACCTCGATATCGCCGATAAGCCCTCCCAGCGCGGCGCCAACGATCATGTCCAGATCGGGGGCGTAGGTTGGCTGGAGTTCAGCGGCGAATCCGCTTGCTAGACTTCCTCCCGAATAACCCCACATCGCGACGGATGCATTTGGGGAGACAGTAGTAAAGTCCGAAGAGCGAAGGACGGCTCGAATCCCATCCAGAACAGCATGGCCGGCACGACGATTTGCCAAAAAGGCGGCCTTGGGACCCTCGTGATCCGGTATACTCACAATCCAGCCCTTTTCCAGTGCTGCTCGAAATAGGACTGTGTGACTTTGGATTCCTACTTTGGAAAGGAGGTCGTTGTCTTCTATGCCGGTTTGGAGGACGTATGATGGTGCACAGTCAATGGCAGATGAGTCCTCTGGAATCTGGTAGGACAGCAGTCTCGAGGTATTGGCATTTTCTGGGACGAGAACTGTGGTGACTGTTGCCGTGGCGTTGGCCCAGTTGTCCGTGGATCGGTACAAGATTTGGTATGCCGCTTCCAGTTTCATCTTTATGGGGTCGATTAGGGCGATCGGGTGTGGTACGTTTCTGTATCGCAGGATAGTACCTGGGTCTTCGTTCTCGTATCCTGCCGGGGGTTCGTAGAAGGGGTCTGTACTGGGAGGGGTGACTGTGGCCCTACTCGCCAGGCCACCAGGGTAGGCAAGACATGTCGTGAAGACAAAGAAGAATGACAGTAGGGATCCTAGCCCCAGCATCCTGATGATGTGCGGGACTGCACCGGTGGATGCTCCAGTCGCAATATGTGTATAGCTGCACAAGAGGGAAGACTTCAATCAAATAACACCTGCTGACGGAAACCACCAGAACGTTGACTGCCCTGTGTATTTTTCCGTGTTATACATTCCGATCCATGTATATAAACAATGGTACTAGCAATTTTATAAGGATCTGCGTTTCCCTCGATGGTATACTATAAGATCTCAATTCATCCATTCCTTGTGCCGACTGATCTTCCAATCGCTAGCTAGATATTAGAATGCCTTATTGCTTTTCTGGTTGTGATTACTCTCCAGCCAGTCGTTATGCAGTAAATTATTGAGAGGACAGCACATGGAAATGATTAACATACCTTCTTATCCCTTGGCTTCCGAGTCCAGACATTGGGAGTGTTGTCCTACTGATGAGCCTCGACAGAAAAGATCTATAAACTAACCAAGAGAGGCAAGCGGGTTGTGAATCGCATCTTCTCTTGATCGGCCGGGGTATTATGTTTATACTAACAAATATGCCGTCCGTTGGAGATCTCGTAGCCGGGATGGACTGTGATCCCGCAAAGATCGACATCAATACCCCAACCATATCTAGAATGCTAGGTTAAGGTTCCGTATTCAAGTAAGGGGCAGGGAAAAGCATCTCCTAGGGTAAACTCAGCCTGCCAAGACTGAACTTCCCACCAATAATGGACTAGATCGCCTGATACGGTTATTGAGACTTTAGACCGATCTTCACTCATTCCTTCGATTGAGCAGTTGGATTACTGTTGCCCAGAACGTCACTTCCGCATCAGGATTGTAGGCCCAGGCAGCATAAAGCGAGACGTAACCATTCGTTGTTAGCTCTGCGATGGTACAGTCAATTAGATATGTACCCTCTTTCCCTTCCGACCCCCTCGCAATATCAGCCCAAATAGTTGTCGCTGCCCATGCCCTGGAGTGTTCCTATTGCTCATCAACTCCTTATCCCGGGCCCACGTGTTTCTCTATTCTTTTTGGCGCATACCGCTGGAAGTCGGTCGCGAGACCATCTGGATACAGACCGAACACATGAAGACTATTGGTTGACGAGAGAAGACGGGACAATGACACGGCAGTTAAGTTCACGGTGGATGACAAAAGCAGTAACAGTCTCAATAGATAGGGAAGCAGAAGAAAGGGCTAGGTGATTGGTGCCTAGTGTATGTCTCCATCCACGGCCCGGCCTACATAGCTCTGGTAAGCAACGCGGGTCAACTGGTAAGCTTTTCCCCACCGTAATTAAGCAATCGACTGAAGATCAATAGAATATGCCCGAAACAACCCTGCCACTGCTCTTTAGGAAGAATAAGACAATGATCTAGGAATGAGGCCATCGGAATGCGACAGCAACGACGTCTTAGTCCGATCCACTTCCCAAGGATCCTTTAGGGCACTTTGTGAATTGCCCAACTAAGCGTTGATTTTTCTAAGTACTAAACGCGGTCTGTTAATTTATTTCCACTATTTCTTAATATTTTGTTGTATTTTATTCTACGATATTGTATTCTTATTTTCATTTTGGGTATCGCCTGGGTTTGATTCGCTAAAGGCTGTTGTTTTGATTGGCGTATTTACTTGTCTTGTTCTGGGACAATAAAGATCATCTCCTGTAAGAGATAGAGCCAGGGCACCTTATTCCACAAGGCCAAAAGGTCAGAATAATTCGGGATCAACGATCCCGAAGCCCTGGGACTGACTTATATAGAACCCGCCGTTACACCTCCCCCGGCGTGTAAACTGGGCATATACCTGGATCCCCGCGGTAAAACGGCAAGTCTAGGCTAGGCTGTACTCCGTAAACATGATCGTAAGAGATGATCATCACTTTGACTTTGGAACTATCGATTCTCTAAGGAATAATCATCCGGACCCACGACAGGTCTAAAGGTGGAGTTACATACCAGGGTCATAGAAGCTACTGCGCAGTACTACAGTACTCAGCATACTAAGAACCTGTCTATGTCTACATCTGGTTAGATCCCAAATCCGGTAGTATGGACTAACTGTTCACTCATTATCGTGGGGACCTGTCCCAGGGTCAGCATATAGAGTGATGGCAGTATACATCTGCCGTATTGAGACCCGTAGCCTCGGGACTCGGCAGTGCGAGACGTCATAGTACAACGATGATCGCAATTATGTTCTTCTACGTAATTAGTAAAGCAGCAACTCAAGGAAGACCCATCGCCAGGGGCAGCTAATCAGGGGCCGAAGCTCAAGTGTGTTATTTTCGGATGGAGTATCTTTCATGTAATTGATTCAGTGCGAGAAAATATATGACGAAATACAACCTTACCCGGCCTTCCGGGGTATCCGCGAAGCCCGAAGCATACAATTCATCTATGCACTCCATGATCCAGAGAGGTTATATAAGTAGAACCAATGTTCGCTTCCAAGACTTTGTATAATGCCAGCAACAAGTTATGAGAACTCGGAGGTGAATTTACTACAAGAGATCGTTGCAAGAACCCGTCATAATGGCACAGCGTATTGATGTGCATCATCACTATATCCCCCCTCCCTATTTGCAAGGTGTGTTTTATCTTTCGTACATTGAGAGATACCTTTGAGACTAATAATCTAATTCTTAAGCCCTTGAAAAAACTGGTGGTGATCCCTCCGGATGGCCTACGCCCGCTTGGTCCCTTGACATGGACCAAAACATTTGCAAAGATTGTGATATTGAAACAGCAATTCTATCCGTGACTGCTCCTGGTACAGGAATTCTCAAGGGAGCTGACTCTGCCCGTCTTGCCAGAGAGTGCAATGAGTTTGGGAAGTCTCTGAGAGACAAACATCCTAAGAATTACGGGTTCTTTGCTACGCTACCGGATATTCTTGATACTGAGGCTGCGCTTAAGGAAATTCAGTATGCCTTTGATACTCTTCAAGCTGACGGTGTTACCCTCTTTACCCGTTATGGCAACGGTAATTATTATTTAGGACATCCTGCGATCCAGCCTATATGGGAAGAACTGAACCGACGTGCTGCGGTGGTATTTGTTCACCCGACTCATCCAGTGGATACCAATCTTGTCAACAAAATGCTTCCCCAGCCAATGATTGATTATCCACATGAAACAACTCGTACAGCTGTTGATCTTATCACTACTGATACTGTGAGAAAGTATAGTAATTGCAAGATTATCTTGTCTCACGGTGGCGGAAATCTGCCTTGGCTGGCCAGACGTCCAGCAATCATGCTAAAAGATCTCAATCTGTCTACCATGACACCTGAACATTTTATTGAGAATGCACGAATGTTCTAGTATGATTTGGCCCTGACAGACTCCTTATTTGCGTTGCCTCTCCTGCAGAGGTTTGCTCCTTCTGATCATATTCTTTTTGGAAGTGATTTCCCGTATGCCCCTGAGGCTACGGTTAGGCGGTTTAGCAAGGAGCTGAGTGAGGCTAATCTCTCGAAGCAAGATGCACAGAAGATTAGCCGTGACAATGCCCTCAAATTATTCCCTCGCCTTTCCTCCCAGTGAAGAACCTTTGGCGGCTTGTTTCGTGAATGCACATAAATCCAAAATGGAAAACGAGGGGGAAGTAGGAGCGATCATGTATTAAAAGGGGTTACAAATTCTCTCCGTGGACTTGTTTCTGTTCCTTTATTTTCTTCTTCCTGTTGCTGGATACCTCTGAGCCCCGAGGGCTTTATAAAGAAATCAAGAAATGAATATGCACTAAATTCTTGTGCTTCTCTAATCTCCATATTCAATTTATAATTTCCAAAGAGAGAAAGATGTATATCTTTATAACTTTGTCATAGTCTATGCTATGTTCCTATACTCTAATTAAAATTACTCTCAGTATTCACACTTTACTGGACCCTAGGGGAGACATTAGGTAACATCAATAGGCATTGTAGGGGTGAGGGCTCCAGACTTCCTCGTGCTCGGCCATAACCATGGATCGAGTTTCATTTAAGTTCAGCCAATGACCGCTATATATAACCTAACATCTCTAACTATTTAACTATCAAAAAGAATTGTAGCACGTGTTCGAGCTCACTTCTACCTATCTGTGCCTAGCTGTGTTAATCCGCAGCGGTAGGCAAGTAGCAGCATCACAGAACTACCATGATAAGGTTTCATCTATGTCGAAGCGCAGGAAATCAATGAGACTAAAGGGAGAATCTCGCAATGCCGTTGAGCTCTCTGACCCCTCAAACAGTGTGCCCGGTCGCTGGTGGCGTAGTACAGCACCATTTCCTGTTTTGGCGGTAATTGTCATCTCCATCCCAATCTCGCCTGCAGCCATTTAACAGATATATAGGGAACGCTATGTGCGATGGCAATCATGTTCAATATCTGCACTGTCTCCCAAGGATGGCAAGAAATGGAAAATGTTGACGGGAGCATCAACATATTATCTCAACCGACTTGGTGTGTATCATTCCACTCTTTTCTTTTCTCCCGGGGTTTAACGGTCAGTAAATATTTCAGGATGGTCGCACTTAAAGCGGTATCCCTAGCTCTGGCTGCCATCTCGTACATCGTACTAATATTGACAATGATGTGCAAACGAAACCCGCAGATAGGATTCACTGTGACAATATTGGGTTGGTTAGCGGCAGGAGCGTTATTGTTCAGCCTCATAGGCGTTACTCTCCGGCAACATCCAATAGTGCAACCACGAGACTCATTGAAGTATACACAGGGCTACTTCTACGGTATTATAGCTGCAAGTTTGTATATTTTCATTGCAGTTTTACTATCAGCTTATACTGCCACTGTGCGCTTGGTTTCCTTAAGCCGTCAGGACAGGCGAACGGTCGAATATACTAGCATCATCCTGCGAACTATCACTTTTATAACCGTTCTTACAGGTGGTGCAGGTGTGTACAGCGCTATTGAGGGTTGGTCTTTTATGGACGCATTGTACTTTACCGACTACACCGTTCTCACTATTGGAATCGGGAATATTGTCCCCAAGACACATCTCGGAAGAAGTCTGCTATTCCCGTACGCTACTGTCGGGATTATAACGTTGGGTCTCGTTGTGAACTCTATAAGATCATTCGGGAAGAGTCTCAGACGTATGAAACTAAGACTGGAGCTCCAAGAAGCGCGCAGCGAGCTTCTGAAAGGAAAGAACTCAACAAGGCCGGCTCATGACGAACACAGAGACAGTATAACATTATCCAGCATATTATCCACGGCCACGCTGCCTCAAACAAGTGACGTGGCGGAGCTTCAGCGCATCCGATCTGATTTCAACCGAAGAGTCCAAGTGAAGGCCCTTCTCTTTTTCGTCTTGGCATGGTTTGTCCTGTGGCTTCTCAGTGCCGCGGTATTTCGTCGATCGGAACGCAGCGAGGGCTGGACGTACTTCATCGCCCTTTACTTTACATACACTTCGTTAACAACCATTGGCTATGGAGACTTCTACCCTACCAGCAACTTTGGCAAGGTTTTCTTCGTCTTCTGGTCTCTGCTTGCTATTCCCGTTCTGACCAATCTCGTCACTGCCATGGGCGACATAGGTGTGCGAACGGCTGTTTACTTTGCTGGTTATATCTTGACACTAGGCAAATCGAGAATCAAGAGGCGTAGTGGGTCAGATCCAGGATCCCGAAGCAATTGTAGGGATATCGAAAAAAATGCTGAATTGTCGTCAAAGTTGAGCAAGCGGTCCATGGACCTGAGTACAATAGGAACAACGACCACTTTTCCGGCTAACGACCTTCAGTTGTCCCAGTCGGTGCATGAAACTGGACAGTACGTGCTTCTACTAGCTGAAGAAATCAGCAAGCTCGTAACAGCGCTCATGGACGGAGACAGTGAGCAGGACCCTCGCCGTGATTGGCCGTGGGTCCTGTCCCTACTCCATTCGCGAGATGGCGAGGCGGGTAGTTCAGTCGTACCCGTTTATCCTGAGATTATGAATCATACCACACTGCGCGCGAGTGAGGGCTTTATCAGTGAGGAAAAAGCAGCGATGGAAAGGAAGAATGAAACCTTGTTGATGCTCAAGTTGTTGACAGAGAGGCTTTGTGCGGATTTGAGGAAGACTGAAGCGAGTGCACCTTAAAGAAGGAATATATACGAAATGGACAGGTGGAATATAATATTGAATATGATCTGCACGGATCTTCAAATAAAGCACTTCTAAGAGGTTGTAACAACGCGGCACTTGTACTCTTCTAGTAATATGCTAGCTCGTAGCCGACCCGCAATCTATATTGATTCTAGACACCTTGCGAGACCCGAGAGATGCTGGCTGGATTATCTGCTATATCATTAAATATTCAAATGCTCTCAATACATGTGGTGGTGGCTTGAGCGTACAATTCACCCTCGAGTACTTCAGAACGATAAAGTCACACCACCAAAGCCATCAAGAAGCCATCATGGTTCTTTGCACCCAGAGTCTGTACAAGGGCCGCTTCTACTCGCGTATCCTGCCCAACCTTTTCCACCAGAGATATCGCTCCCTCTTTACGTTTCTCCGGGCCCACAATTCCGTCTTCCAGCATACTCTGAACTGCATTGTCGACCAATATGACAGCCCCAGGACCCTTCGCTAGTTTAACACCATAGTCGAAATATTGCCACTGATTATCCCAATCCGCATCAATAAACACAAAGTCAAACTTCGATCGCTTCCCTTGCTGAATTTCCTCCTCTAACCGGGGCAACACCTCCAGCCCAGGTCCGAGCAACACCTCAGCCTCGTCTGGAACTTTCACCCCAGCATTGCGCAGATTCTGGATAGCAAGCTCTCGTCTGTCTTCAAGAATTTCGATGCTAGTCACCTTTCCCTTATTGCCATTGGCATTGAGGGCCCGGGCGAACCAGATGCTGGAGTATCCGCCCAAGGTGCCGACTTCCAGTACGTTGTGGGCGCCTGACATCTTGGTCAGCAGGGAAAGGAATTTGCCCTGGGCTGGGGAGACGGCAATTGGTGGTATTCCATTTTTGGCGCAGTTGGAGATAGTGTCGGTTAGGGCTTGGTCGGTTGGGACCAGATGGGAAACGGCGTAGGAATCCACTTCCTTTTGGAGCGTGGTGGTTGGGGCCATCTTGATGGTTTAATAAAATCGGCTGTGTTGGATGGTGCTAAGGTAGGTTCGAGCGACTTGGTTGTTGGGGATTGTGAAGAATATGCGGGTTAAATTCTATCGATGAGATCGATGAGCTTTATATAAATGCTGTTCGTTCCTCGGAGGTTCATGTTGGCATAGAAACACTATCTCCGATATGGTCAAGATGAGTAAGGCTTGGCAACTCTTCATGACTGGGGCGATTTAATGATTATCCGTAGTCTTTGATCAGCATCTTACTGCAGTTTGAAGTCGCAATTTCGCGAAGATTCATTCAAATTGAGTACTTTGAAATCCAATAGGCATTTGTTGCAACCCGAGAGGCAAGGCCATTCTGTTGATATGTATAGCTTAACGTTAATCATTACACTTGGTTATATCGCAAAGACTGCCCTCTGGCTGTACTAGATGGTTATATCACTTGAGCAAAGCTATATCTAAGCCTCTCTGCCAGGTATGTCATCGTCTGTGGAGAGCGTGCTCGTTATCTGATCGTGATCTTGCTTGATAATCGTTCTTATCGCCGAACCGTTATCGCCGAGGCACACATGTTTTCTCCGACGCTGAGCAACGTCACGACTTATATCTCCGCGACCCCCTCGGACCTCCGTTCACCACTTCATCATCTGATAAGATCCCAACTCCGATCTGATAATAGGAAGCCTGTTCTTCTGCTTGAGGGGTACAATGCTACCCAATAAAGCTCAGCGGATGTCCGAGCCGACAGCGCCAAGACGACCAATCGCCCGGAGAAAGCGGAGACCCTTGTCTTGCTCTCTGTGCCGACGACGGAAACTTGCTTGCGACCGTGAATATCCGTCCTGCAGTCGGTGTCGAAAAACCGGGAACTCTGATTCTTGCTCGTACGAGGATGCTCCTGTCCCGTCGCGTAACAGTCAGCGAAGAACAGTTGTGCTGGGGGAAAACACACCCGCTACCCCGGTCCTTGGGAACACTACATCGTCTGCTTCGGTAGAAGGCTATAGGGCAGACGATAACACTCGACCCATTGTGCAGGACTTGACAGAACACGCAGGTACTTGGCAGCTGATAGGTGGTGATGTTGATGGAGCTACGACCAGTAAAGAGCGTCCGGCCATTAAAGCCGACGTAACTGAACTGACGTATCCCCCCGAACCAATGTCAACTGAGGCTGTCATCTTCCGAGGGAAGAATTACAAGACACAGTATTATGGGAGTACAAACCCCACTAGTTTGATCGGCCATGTAAGCGCTGCTATCAGATTGTCCTTTGACTGAAATGCTTATTTGCAATCCAGTTCCCCGAGCTTCGGGCTTACATGAAGGAGACGATCAAGCACCATGCTTCTTTACCCGGTGTCCAGAAAGAACTGAAAGCATTGGACACGAAATGGAAGTATGAGAAACCCAACAACCTTGCGGTCAAAACTGCGGACTTGTTGCTGCTGCTCCCAGACCAGGAACAGATGGACGCAGCCATTCGGCTATATTTCGAAACATTCGAAACGATGCACAGAATTGTGCACAGGCCGACTTTCATGGAGGAGTATGACCAGTTGCAGAAGGATCGATCAGCTGCAAAACCAGGATTCATTGTCCTCATTCTATTGATCATGGCCACCGTCAGCTGCACAACGACAACTGACCGAACTTACGTGGGTAGCAGTAGTCTCGGTCGAGAACGGGGATCGCTGTGGATTGAAACGGCCGAAGCGTGGCTTGCAAAGCAGAGCAAGAAGAATATCTACCTGGTCATATGGCAGATTCGCTGTCTACTCGTGCTTGCAAAACAAATGTGCCGCTACAAGAAGAAGCGCATGTGGTCGGTGGCGGGTGACCTGGTGAGAGAGGGAATGGCGGCTGGCTTTCATCGCGACCCAAGCCGTCTGGGGGGCAAGATATCTTTTTTCGACCAGGAGATTCGCCGGAGACTGTGGGCGACAATGACTGAGTTGGAGCTACAGGCTTCGGTCGAGCGAGGACTGCCATCAGCCTTAGCTGCGATCCAAATGGATTGTGCTCCTCCGGTTGATATCGACGATGAAGGTCTGAGACCCGAATCCTGTTCTACAGAGACACAAGGATCGCCTGGGCATCGTACATCGACTTTGTTCTTGCGGTTATGTAGGAACAGCCTGGACTTGCGCGTGTCCTTAAATTCTCGGATGAATGATCTGACCTCGGATTTGCCATATGAGGATATCCTCAGATACGAAGACATGATCATGAGTGAACTTAAGAAGCTTCCCTCTTCAAGCGACAACAGCGATGATACTAATGACAAAGGCCTATCTCAGATGGCAAGGGTAGTCCTAGATCTGCAACTGCGGCAGTTCCTTGTCTTACTCCACGCCCCCTTTGCTAGAAAGGCAGAAAATAATACACGATACACAGTATCAAGGATGGTTTGTTTCAATGCCGCTGCCAGCATGATTGACCAGCATTGGCGGCTGGTACAGGCTGGGAATCCCATGCTATTGCTTTTGAGACATGACTACTTCCGCGGAGCATTAAACCTTTCTCACTACGCATTTATATCCTCAGGAATCAAGGGTAAGTTATTTCCACTGAGGTACTGGTATTCTTCTACATAAGATTTTATATGTTAAACTCTAGTACAGCCGATATATGTGTCCCAATCGACCAGAATGCAATATTGCAATATATCCAGAATGCGCTGTCCATGTTGGAGGACAGCATCACTTATCTTGGAACCGGATTCACGTATCACTGGTACATTTCTGCTGCAATTTCCTTTTTGCGATCACAGTCACAACCGGTAAAGTCCAGCACACTCAAGCAGGAAGCAATTAACCAAGTCGTCAAACAATATTACCGAGTACTTGCATCACAAGAACAGTTCCCTCGCGCCAAGGAGAAGATCTATTCCTCACAATTCAGACAGGTAGCTCAACTCAAATAATTTCCTGGACGTTTGTATAAGGAAGCACATATGCTAAGTAGCCTTCCATAGGGTGAACCCTCCGAAGCTGAGTGCCAGTTTACCAGTGATAATGTGCTGGACCCAACGGAGATGTCCTTGGACGATGTGGGGTTTTCTCAGGTTCGTCATGAAAGCTCCCTCAACGCTTCTCCCTGTTCCTGGTAATTACTTATATGCATATTAATATGTTATAGTTTGATCCAACTGTTCAATCGATGGAGCAATATTTCTTCGGCGATCCTGCCGCTTGGACATTCGACGATCTGTGGGAGGTAGCATAGACTAATCAACAACCAAAGTTATACGGTATACAGAAAAGTTCACTGAACTAATCAGTACAGCTATGATGAGTGCGTAAATATGAGAGGGTCAATCATCATTGGTGTCTTCATTATTATTCATTATGTAGATCATGTCATAGGACTAGTGCATTTAAACATTCAGATAATCATCAAGCCTGTGTTAACTCCGACAATATACCAGTCAGATTCAAAGGCTTCAAATCATCGAATATCTGCATCACTTTGGGGAATAGCTGGTTGATATTAGTATTGTACACAGGATTCGCTTATAGGACAGACTTACATCGCTGACACCATCAATCAGAACGGTAATTGTATTGGTACGATTAGGGTATAGGAGAGTATGTGCATGTTCAGTAAGGTTTTTAACTTGACCGACGACCGTTGGGTCAATCAATCGAGGTGTTCAGGAGAGGTTGAATGACATCGGGGTTAGATGAGAGGAAACTGTTAGCCTCTTGTATAAGACTCGCGATTTGCTTTGCCAGGTCTTTGGGAAGGAGGTCATTGGCGTTAGTGAGTAAGTTTCCGATGTTGTCGGCATGCGGCGTGATGTACTGATTGACAGATGAGAGTAATTGCGGGATATCAATAGCAGATGAGTTGGAGGATGAATCAGAGACCAGCGGGTTGACATCGGCGATGAGTGATTTGGTTTCCTTGACAAATGAAGACGTCGGGAGGTTGCTTGTGTTGTTAAGTAGGTTGTTTATCTCATTTAAGAACCGCTCTGTGAGCAGAGGGGATGCTTCTTCAAGTAGGTTGTTGATCGATTCCACATTGTCTGCAGTAAGGGGGCCATTTGCATTGTTCAGTAGGCCTGTAACCGTGTTTTATTGTCTCTTTTGTGAGCTCGTCATTTCCTATCTGAACGAGTGATTTTGTCTCCACTGAAGTTTGGTTGTCGAAAAGGTCTGCCAAGTGGGTGATGGATGATACAGCATCCTTCACGAGAGTAGGTGAGAACAGGCCTACCAGGCCATCAATAGCATTCCCAACATTTTCCGAGGTGCTGTTTGTTGTTCCTTCTGGTATAAGATTACCGAAGATATCTTCAAAGATACTACCCAGATCGAGACTAGCCCTAGGCACCGGGTCGGAGCTGTCTTCTGTTGGATTAGATCCATATACCTGAAAGGCAAAGAGAAAGAGAGTCACATATTGGATGATGGGATACATTCTGACCATGGAGATGGACACCACGAGGTCCCATAGTCAACCATACCCTTCCATCGTGCTTAGACTCCCATTGCTATAGCATATATCTATGTGTATTTATGCAGTTTGTTTTGCGCATAGATCACTGGAATGCAGGGAACTATGCGGGGGAGGATATAATGACCGCATAAACCGGAACCGGAACCTAATTGAATAGCGGATCTCGGCAGACTCTACGCATAAGGGTAGGGCACAGCCTGAAAGACGCCCCATGGAACTCGCTCGATAGTACGTGAGTTGTGCTACAGGTATCCATATCGCTAAAGGGGGAGTGCAGTTTTTCCTCATGTCACCTTGCGTAGATCTTTGTCTCCCCCTCCACTCGTGGCGAATCCTACAGAGCCGTATGGATCCAGTTAATGGTGTAATACCAGAGCTTCATCTGATGGATGCAGCCTAGATCAAGCCGCATACAAGTAGGAAATAGTACCCGATTGAGAATGATTACCATTCTACTAGGGCTAACAGATTCAAACGCTATGCCGGGCATTATAGTGTAACATGAGGCACCCCGCAAGGAACACCATACGCTCTGGATATCATGACTAAAGTCTGCATTTTGGATCGACAGTAAGTAGACTGTACTACGGATATAACCGGGGAATATGCCCCCTCTTTCCCTAGCATGCCTGGAGAGGCGATAGATCACCATGTAGCTATTACATGGAAACCCTGACGTATCAAAAGTCAAATAGCCAGCATTGTTATTTGTCATAATTAAGTGCTGCTGATGTGGGAGACTCAGATAGGAATGAATAAAACTATAGATAGGAAGCGATATTATACGAATTATCAAACCACAGAGTCTCGCAGCAAGGAAGTGTATATAGACTGAAATCCCGTAGGACCAAAACCACCATCATCAGATCGATCTTTCCCGGAGAGAGATGCACCCGTCCCTAGATGTCGAGAGGAGTCCCCGCTGAGTGCATGCATCTCCGTTATATCGTCCGACTGCGGACTGCCAAACTCGAAGAAATTCAGGTTGATAGCAGCCTCTCCAACATTAGTCTCTTCCGGACTGCAACTGGCTTCCACCTCATAGGCGGTTTCCCTGATGGACTCTCCAATAGCTGTGATGAATTTGAATACATCATCATGTCGGCTCTCGGAGCTGTCGTCTTCTGGGCTATCGGCGGCCTGCTCCTCTGGCAAACTGTCTATCTGGGATATGGAACCGACATCCTCGGTCAGCCTACCATTTGGAGCAATCTCCGGGCATTGTGAAGTGTCGTATGTCTCCAGCCAATGGTCCACGGCAGCCTTTGTTGCTTCTTGGCCCAGGGCGTCTGACGCACTAGCAGGGGTAGTGCATTGTCATACGGCAGACGGCCAGTTGCAAGGCTATAGTCAAGGGTTATAGATATCCGCAGGTATGCCCGAGGACTACTAAGGAAGGCGTCATACCAGTTCGTCACTCTTTTCGCAGTAGTACCAAGTGACATGCCGACAGATGGCGGTTCTATCACCATCTGTGAGGAGCCGATGGCGTTTGTTCCGCATCGTAGAAAAGCTTCTTGTGTAGTAATGTACGCCAACTGCAGAATATGGTTGGTCCCAGCAGCCACATAATCAGCCACGTCATAAAGCATTCTCGAATGTCGAACAATCTCTCCCAGGCGATCGAGACGACGCTTTCGGATCGTCATTTCTGCCTGCGAGGGAGAGAGCTTCACATCGATGGCAGCAAGAACGAGGGGCACGGCGGTATAGGCCAGACTGCATTGTCAGTGTGAGTGCCTATTGCCAATCAACAGTAAGAGGAAGCTTACACGCTCAGAGGCATCCGCTCTGCACGTCCCTGGCCACAGAAAAACTCTATGGCACTTGTTAAACCAGTCATGGCTTTGCGGAGATCTGCGCCAGTTTCTAGCAATTGGCCTCTATAGTTAGTTCCGGTGAAGCTCAAATGCTTCTCGATAATCAACGCCTCGTATTGGGCTAGATCAACACGGGCGGCACTAAAACAATCAGAAACCGGTATAGGCAAGGCGCGGGGTTAACCTACTAGTAATACATCCAAGTCAGATGAGTAAAGAAGGTAACGGTCTCGTGGCTGGTAGACGGTGGAACAATCGAAACAGCCTCCCATTTCGTCAGATACCGCTTGATCCGGCGGATGGCAGCGAGAACGGCCTGGAATTCGGTCAAAGAAAGTGACGGGGATGATACCCCCTGCGAGGAAAAGACCAGCGCGACCATATCGGTGAGAAGAACCGCTAGTTTGCATTGTTCCTGCAGGACCTGAAACAGTTGAATCTTGAGCTCCGGATCGTATACTCGAGAATTTACTATTTCATCCGCGAAATCCTCTTCTGTAAGCCAGTTTGCCCCCATGTTGAATTCTACTGATGTGATTTGAGGACGACGGCGGAGCCCGATAGATAGAACCCGATCACGCAGCACCATAGACCACCACAACCGTTTCATCATGGATAAGTTGATCTGACTATCACCAGGGCCTGGTCCGCAGCCCACAATCATAGCATTTTGGATAGCGCGCATCAACCATATATTGCTGGCCTGGGGATCTTGAGCGGACGTGTGGTGGGCGAGAAGAGCGGAGCCTTGGGCTTTGGCGAAGGCATCATCTTCTGCTTGGAGATCGAATAGTAGCTGACGCAATTAGTGACCGTCCAACAGGCACGAAATATAGTAGGGCTAGCTACCTTAGCACGATCGTAGAATATTATTCTGGCTTTGCGTCTATCACTGAATCCACATTTTTGGAGCGTTTGTAAGGGAACATACTGATGTTGTTAGTAAGATTATATGCCAAAAGGCGAGAGTGTGTACGTACAGGACAACTGGAAAATAGAAGAGCTTGTAAAACAAATAATGATATTGTGTGTGAAGGGGAGTTAGCAGAGATACGCCAAAACTCTGCCTCATCCAGTGCTGGAAGACAAGGATGAATGTTGAGAAAATACTGCCTCGCGAATTCATTGATCGTGGACCAGTCTGGAACACTCAAAGACCCCTTTGAAGCCAAGTATGCCACATCTTCCTGAGGTAGGACGGCCAAACCGTTGAGTGTGAGGAAAGGGCAAAAGAAGAATGATACGCTGCTGGGGGCCGTGAGATCGACGGACGTTTCTATTCCAGCCGCATTTCCAAGGCCACCATACAGCCCATCGATGGGCTCCTCTGGGCGTATAATTTGTTTAGCGGTACCGTCGATGGCATCGTCTCTTCGAGGGGCATCTTGGTCTGTAATTACAGACCTTGCAGCACTAGGAAGGAATTAGCTACGACAGGAAGTCAGGAAGCAGGTGTCGGCACATACTGCCTGCCAGATCTGGACCCGAGTGTGCAGTCACGTCGACCATCCTGGCGACATCTCGTACAAGGACAGCCATGGATAGATGCGTCGCATCGGACCTTGCGATGTCGACACCAATAACAGGCTCGGGGGGCCCGTTTAGTTCGTTGCCACATCGGTCAATGAAGTGACAATCTCGATGGATGGCGATCGTGAATGTGAAAGTGAGAGGTGTTCAAGCATGGATCCGGGGGGAGGAGACTTCCCCGCCCTTCGGCACTTCAAATATTCCCCAGATGGAGCTAGACGTTGTCGATCCTCCTGGTCGAGTGAGGTTTAATATTTCCGAGCACAATCTGCCAATAGAGGCGCACATGACCCAGGGATCAGCGTGGCGGCCTGCGTGCTAACGCCAGTTCCTTAGGGTTACCCCTCTTTACGTGCTCAAACCTAGACCTGAGAGTTATAACGTATCTATTTCTTAATTAAAAATCTATTCCTGGTGCCGATACCCCACAGATAATCCCGCGGCATATTCGGATCTCGGCCCCACTCGCCATGTGAAGGCTAAAAACAAAAACACTCCACAGCAAACAGTACGCTAAACACATCTACCTATGTTGGGCCTTCTTCATTCTCTTCCGCATATCCTTCAGATAGTACCGCATAGGGTAGGTCCGAATGAAGCTAGGTGTAGCAGGGTACACAACCTTCGTCATCCCCCGAACCACCTTCTGCATTCCCCTTCGCGTCCTACTGGTCTTGAGCCCATACCCCTCGCGGATCCCCTCTGGCAGCAAGTCTGCGGTCATCAGCCGCACCAGTGGCATGGAAACACGGATTATGAAAGGAACTTGTTTGTTAAACAGTAGATCCTTGGCAACGTTCTTTGCCTGTGGGGTTATCCGATGCTGTATCTTGTTGATCTGTTCGTTCCAATAGACCCAGAACGCCTCGCGAGTTGGCGGCCACATCTCTGGCTTGACACGGAGTGAAACCGCAAGAACGGCATATTCACGATAGGTTGCCTCGGCAGTGGCCTCATCCATGCGCCCAAAGACCTGCTCGTACAAATCAATCCCAACAGCGTAGAGAGTCGCCGCCACCCAGACCTGCAGGTGTGGATCGTCGGCCGAGTAGTCGGGGCCCTTGACAACGGAATGTGCTTTGTGGACCATCTCAATGATGATCTTCTTTTCCTCTGGGGTGCCGAACGCCATGCAGTAGACGTATGTCATAGTCGTGCGGAGTCGATCCAGTGGACGATAGGAGAAGTTACTGTGTTCATCAACGCCTTTGCCAACGCCCGGCATGGCAACTTGAAGGAGAATAGCCGCTCCGCCACCAGCGAGCAGGATGCCTTCGCGAACTATTTTCTTGATTTTCTGAGGGTTCTCGAGCTCCCTGAGGAGCTGTTCGTCGGTGTCATTGGCTTTTTCATTTTTCGTGGTAATGTCGCTCTTTTCATCCATTTTGAAGGATATTGGAATAGTATTGTCTTAATTAGATTAGCTCAAATGTTCAATCTGCTCACGTCCTAATATTTATATATCAACACTGACATTTCCCATACACTCTAACAACACATGCTGTACTGGTATTCGGATGCTTATGCATACTAGATACCGCGGACCGGACGGACCGCCGACAGCGCCACTCGAGTTCGATAGAACATCATCCGCGGATCCTTTCGAGTGGTGTAATAGCGGGGTAGCTCGATGGCGATCTTTCAGGGTCCCCGTTCGCTAGAGTAAGATGATCAAGTTTGCGGAGTGTCCAAGCGTAAGTTAGCTCCATGCGGGGTGTTACAATCCTTCGTGTCGCCAAGCTCGCCCCGTTATATACGAGGTATAGATATATGGATCTTCAACTATTGGCCGTAAATCAAGCTGAAGATAAAGAACCAAGCTTTTCCCCGCATACCCCATAAATTCCCTCGGCGGACTTGGGATGATATATAAAATAGCAGGACGATAGACTCGCTACACGTAGACCATTGGCACAATGGGGGAGAAATACCTTGAAAAGGATCCTCGAGCAACAAAGCTATCCAGCCTCGACGCACAAATTGAGCATGTGGAAAACGCAGGCTCAGAAGTGCCCGGCCAGCGCCGAAAGGCCGTCAAGCTAAAAGTCCAGCGTCACTTCCGCCGTTTCTGGTTTTGTTATCTACTCGGCGGAGTGATCTTTCTGGCTATCTTCCTTCCACTTCTGTATGGTTTAGGAAACATACTTATCATGATACATGCTGATCGCCTATAGATTTGTCTATATTATTCCTGCCATTGCGCAGAAGATTCTGAACGATGCCGATCTTCCGATCTATGCAGCGCGTATCCTCGACCCGATGCCAGACACTGTCAGCTTTTCCATTGATACTTCCTTGAAGATCCCCGCTGGGCTCTCTGTGCGAATCGATCCATTCTCCCTGTCTCTATTCAACCGCGAAGCGAAGCCGATGGTGCCAGTCATTGATTTATCAGTGGACTCGTACAAACTCAAGGGAACTACGAATATCAGCATCACTACCAACAACACAGAAGTTCTCGACCGGGCGCAGTTCATCCAAACATTAACCAAGGCCGTATATTCGAAACGGTTTACCTTGTCCGCAAAGGGTTCGACAACAGGACATTTGGGGGCTCTCAAGGCAGGCGTGACCCTGGATAAAGATGTGGAACTCGACGGTCAGTTTCTTCGGGTTCTTTATTTGAATACCTCTGATAATGAATATAGGGCTCGACAAACTCAGTGGCTTTTCCATCGACGCAGCCCGTCTTATCCTACCTGCCGAAGAAGATGGGACGAATCTGAGAGGAACCGCCACATTGCCCAACCATTCTGTTGTCACATTTGCTTTGGTGAGTCAGTTCATAGATGAAATCTCCTGGTGTATACTAATTCGATAGGGCAACGTCACTCTCAACCTGAAAACAGCGGGCATTGTAGTCGGGCAAGGCTACCTCGAGAACGTCGTTCTGTCACCGGGCAATAACACGATGCCTTTACGAGCAACCCTCGATATCAGAAAAGTATTGGCGAACCTGATAGACATCCTAGGAGCGCAAGTGTCAGCCTTGATGGATGGCAAATTGGAAATATCGGCGTCGGGAAACTCCACCGTTTACGATGGGAAGCATATTCCATATTTTGAAGAAGTGCTGAATAACCTCACAATTACCACGCGAATCCCAATCATGACAATCCTGAGTGATACGCTAGCTGGATGGAGGGAATCTGGTTTCTTGGATGGGTTAAATGGGACCTTAGGCAATCTGGGAGGCTTGCTCGGCAAGGCTGAAAATTTGTCAGATATCCTTGGAGACTAATTATGCATTTTTTATACTTAACCAAAATCCGTCGACGATCTACATCCCGTAGTCCATGTGTAGACCGAGGTCAGGAAACCTTAACACAGCCCCACTCACTAATATATACACGACGTGGAAGCACAGTGTAGTTGTTATTGTCTATCAATCAGCAACAATGACTCAATCATCGGAATTCGCCAACGCAAGCCAACTGTTTACCCCAGAAGACGTCTCCAAACACAATTCCTCCGATAATCTATGGATCATCATTAATAATGAGATATACGACTTGACCGAATTTCAGAAAGAGCATCCAGGCGGAGCAAAAAGTACGTCCAGTATTTTTATGCGATGGTTCGCAGTTCTAACAGCCCCAGTTCTTCAAGCTGTCGCAGGAAAAGATGGGACAAAAAAGTTCCGCAAATATCATCGAGAGGCGTTGTTGGTGAAATATAGAGAATCGCTAAGAGTAGGAGACCTCGTGAGACAGCCAAAAGGTCGGAAATGGCTTTTCTTTAAAGCGTCAACCAAATAGGTGTTTCCGGCTGCCGGAGATGTGTGTAACTTGTCTTGGGTTGTATATAAACTTCTATTTGAATTAGTTGAGCTGGTGCAATAACCCAAAGGCTTCGTATGGAGCCCAGTTCTCTTCTCATGCAATATCTTGATATTTTTTCCCACCTCCCATTGCATCGTTGCTTTTACTATTTCCCTATCGACCTCCATCGACTTCACCCAGTAGCTTCCGTGTCGCCTGTACATCTATATTCTGCCTTTCTCCAGGAGCATAGTGTAGCATTCAGTGCAGCTTGAGGAACGAGTACCAAGCTCAATATCGATACGGCCTTCCCTTGCCTCATAGTATCGTGTTGAGTGACAGATAGAGAGAGGAGGGCCATCATTAATGTATCATTTCTTCTCGCGCTTGTCGTGGCCAAAGATTTACCCGTAACAACATTTCCACCGATTATTGCGGTATTTTCACCACTGCTCTACCGCTAATAGCATCATTCCTCAACCCATCCACAAGACGCGGCGTATCCGCAAAGTCAAATACTTCTATCGCAGGCGTAATCTCTCCCCTCGCTGCCTGCTGCAGAAGCTCATCCATCTGCTCTTCCGTACCGACCGAAGAGCCAACAATAGAAAGACCTATCCACATCAGCCTTAGACCTCGAGCAGTACAATTATAACTCACCTCTAGCCGCGGATACGGTTGCAGAAATAGGCCACTCCATGTCATTCGGTGGTAATCCCACACCGACAATCAACCCCATATTCCTCACAACCTGCGGCGCCATCTCGAATGCCTCTCTCGTCCCAGGCACTACAATCGTTGCATGGGCCCCTTCTCCCCCTGTCACCTCCCGGATCCTCGCCGCAACATCTTCCGTCCGGTAATCGACAAACACCTCGGCACCAGACTCCATGCTTATCTTTCTCTTTTCTTCCCCGCTATCAATCGCGATGACCCGGAATCCCTTTGTCCGAGCCGCAATTTGAACCCCCAAATGCCCCAATCCGCCTCCTGATCCCGAAATCACCGCCCAATCACCGGAACACAGACGATAGTCATTTAGTCTAGCCACCGCACCAGCCATAGTGAGACCAGCACACAATAAGGGCGCGGCAACTTCATCTGGCACTGTCTCCGGGATGCGCGTGATGAACCTGGCGTCTGCGATGACGTACTGTTGTAATGTACCAGGCACATGGCGACTTGTATTCTTCTGCTGCGCGCAGTAGTGACTAAAACCGCGTTGACAGGCAGAGCAGGTGGTACAGGCGTTATACAGCCACTTCACCCCGACGCGTTGGTTCAGTAGTGAGGGGGAGACGTTGGGGCCGGCCTGGATTACGGTTCCAACGCCTTCGTGGCCGATGATAGGGTTGTAGGCGCCCCAGGCTAGGACGGCGCGGATTTCAGAATGACTGTGGCATTATTTAATGTGTGTCGACTTTCAATCTGAATTATAAATGGATGATAAGGGTAGTCTCACCAGAGGCCTGTACATGTCAACTTTACCAGGATCTCGTCTGGACAGGGTTTGTTGATGGGGATGTCGTCGCGGATGATCATTTCATAATTATTTCCTGGGTTCTGCACGACAACCGCACACTGGTGACTAGATGTGGGATCCATGATGCCTGTTACTCTGCTACTGTCGTTTTGGCGGATTTGTTGTGGTCTACGAAGTGTTGGTTACCCAAAGTGGGTTTTTGTTCTTGGGGTCATTATAGGGTTACAGCCGAAGATACCCAGAGCGGCAAATTCGGTCGGCATGCATCTATATTCCAACCAAACAGCCCTCAATGGCCGCACGTGATCTGCACAATGCTTCTTTGGGCTCTGTATCTACGCATCTTAGTCATTGGGTGTACTTTTGTTATTGTAATGTGAGTATCGCACTCAAAGGCTCTGCTATTCACAATTCATAGCATGTAATGATATTACAAGCCAACTCGGCATGTTCCTAAGGTACCCCTTGATTCAACTTCCCGAGATGAGTGCATGTCAACCCTACGACGACTATGCCTGGGCAATAAGCTCCCAGATCTGGGAGGACTGGCCCAAACTTCTTCGCACTGACGGGGGCATTTATAATGACATTGCAGTCATCCTTTCTGAAAGGTTTAGCCACCTTGAATTTGCAGAGTTTGAATACCTTAACACCGGTTTCAACACCTGCTTTAAGATGACATTCAGCAACAATTTGAGCGCTATTATACGGTTCCCTATACCCGGCACTATCATGTTTCCCAAAAAGAAAACCCGCCATGAGGTCTCTGTCATGCGATTTCTCTCGGAGGTAACTGCAGATAGAATCCCAATCCCGGTGCCTTTTGTCTTTCACTAGACAGTGACAAAAGAGAGCCCCTCGGAACGCGGTCCTTTCATCATTATGAAGTATATTCCTCATGAAGGAAGCATGGGTAGTCTTCTTCAAACACCAGGGCGCCAAGCAGGGGAACGGCCTATACTCAATCCGGATCTCGAGTCCGTTCGGCTAGAGGCTCTCTATGGAAACCTCGCCAACATAGTCCTGTCGCTATCGACAGTTCATTTCAATCGGATAAGCTCTCCTGACAAGAACGACAATTCCATGTGGGAAGTGATACGTCGCCCTTTGTCTTACTCTATGAACGAAATTGTCCAACTAGGGACACTTCCACGATCAAAACTACCGGCTGGCACATACGACAAGGCATCATCCTACTTCGAGGCCCTGGCGGCACTACACATCTCACACCTCAGACACCAAAAACACGAGGCGGATATCCCGACAGGTATTTCGGCGGATACTTTCGCGGATGACTGCCGACGCAAATGTGTGGCTAGATTCCTGTTCCAAAAGATTGTTAGAAACCAGGAGCAGAGAAAACAATGGATATCGCATGAGAAAGGCCCATTTCCAGTTTGGTGTGACGACTTTCGACCAGAAAATGCTCTAGTTGATGAAGCCGAAAGCGTCGTCGGAGTGGTGGATTGGGAGTTTACATATACCGCCCCAGTTGAATTCGCCTATGCGCCGCCTTGGTGGCTCCTTCTCGTCAAGCCGGAAGATTGGCCCAATGGCCTTGATGACTGGTGTACAGAGTATGAAAAAGCGCTTCGGGTCCTTCTTGTCGCAATGCGGAAAGTCGAAGACGATGCGATCCAGAACAAACGGCTACTAGAAAGCCAACGGCTATCTAGTCGGATGCGAGATAGTTGGCAGAGCGGAGACTTTTGGATTATGTATGCCGCAAGGAACAACTTTGCCTTTGATGCGATATACTGGAAAAAGATCGATCGGCGATTTTTTGGAAGCACCTTAGATGAAGAGGACAACGTCCGCGATGTATGGCGCGAGAGATTAGATCTCTTAGAACCAGAAGAGACAAAGCTCATGGAGGAATATGTGGATCTGAAACTCAAAGAGCTGGACACACCCATTCTCGCCTGGGACAAGGACGAGTACACTTTGGAATGGATTCAGAAGATGGGGGCGGTAAGAAAGATTAAGGGGGCAAAGGAGAAGATGGAAAGCTTGGTGTTGGAGTGAAATGGTGACCTAGAGAAGATGATGGAGATGGAAAGGAAAGGGGAAATCGAGAAGTCGAAGGTGGTTAACATGATAAACGAGATGAGGGAGGAGATGGAGAGAATGGAGATACAATGTAAGGCCGACATAAAGGATATCAAGGGAATGGAAATGAAGGAGATACTGGACATGAAGAAGATGAAGACAAGGAAGGAGACGGAGTGGGACAAGGAGATGAAGAGGATGGAAATGGAGAGCAAGGCTGAAAGCGATTTTCTCTAAGCTGCTGTTAGATTTAGCGCTTCCTTTCTTCTCCTACGTCTTTAATCATCGTAGGGACTGCAAATACTCTTTTGGTCAATCAAATTTCCCTTGTGATACAGTACGCTTCCGCGGTTTATATGACACAGAATGGACTTGTAACCGCTGGGAACGCCGGGCAGGGAGGGAATTAAATATATCTATATCAGTGGTTATCCTTTTTCTATGTGGTTTCCTTTGTCAATATCTGTTTGATCCTACTATTTATAGATGTTTTACTATTCTGTATCTCCCCTATTTATTATCTCTTTGTATTTTACTGTTTCTAAGACTTTTGACGCAGAGGCCCGCACCCGAAAATTGGCGGGTTCGGATCGAGTATAGCGGGGAATTCGTACTGCTCTATATAGGTACTCATGTAAATTTCTTAGTCTAATCTTATCCAAGTGAAGGCTGGTTCAAAAATTTATGCCTTAATGTAACAGTTATGTTAATTGCTGAGTTAGCCCACTCTAGCCACTACGTGGTACATAGCAAATATCATTAACGTCATGGATTGAATTAAAGAATTCTATAAGTCACCTTTAGCAGCATCAAAGGCTTGCTTAAATACCTTCCTCATCCCTACCATATCCGTCATTGCGCTCATCATCTGGAATCCCTTGCTGGCGTATTCCCTCGCTTGCTCGCCGGTGTCACAGTAAATCCCAGTAGCTTTTCCAGCGGCCTGGGCAGCCTCATGGATTTTCTGAATAGCTTTCACAAGCTCAGGATGCATTTGTTCGGGGTTGGTGATGGGGTGACCAATATTGACGCTCAGGTCAAAAGGGCCAATAAACAGAACATCAACACCAGGCACGGCAGCAATTTCCCTGACATTTTCAAGGGCAGCTTTTGTTTCGATCTGCACCGCGATGACGAGCGAGCTGTTGGCTTGCTGCAAGTATTCCATACCCGTCAACTCTTTCGCCTCACTACCGTGGGGATGTTGCTCCACGAACTTCTCCACCGCGAGGAGACTCTCAAACCCGCGATTTCCAACCGGGGGGAACTTCGAATATCGCACCACATTTCTCGCATCCTCCGCTGTGTCGATGACTGGAACAAGGATGCCGTGGGCGCCAGAGTCCAGGGCGCGTTTTATCATCCACGGCTGGCCTTCTGCGACACGGACGATGGGCGAGACTCCACATGCTGCCGAAGCTGCCACAATTTCATGCATCGAGTCGTCGGAGATATTGCCGTGTTCGAGGTCAATGAGAAGCCATTCAAGGTTTCTGGCTGACCTGCATATGGTTCTGGTCAGGTTGGTTCCGGGGAGCATTTGCCAGCCTCCGAAGGAGGCTCGCCCTTTGTGAGAGATTTTTGAAGACGATTAGCTGCTTGCATTGTGCTGATATTGTTGTTACTGGTAAATGAGAGTAGTGGTGAAGAGAGGATGGGACTAAACAAGGAAGAATACAGCAATCGACGAGACTCTTAATACTACGATAACGGACAGGGCTCTCATTTAGTTTCATACATCAAGTATATATTGTCGGCATAGTACACCGACCCAATGACAAACGCAAAGTAGACCCTCTAGTTTCCCTACTAAGTGTAGATATGTCGCCGTTCGGCATCGTCGGCTTTCTATGGTGGATCAATGTATGCTAGAAGCCGTCCCGTCGATCCCGAGTCTCCGTGTAGGCCGTCCAAAGCCGCTCGGGAATTTCGGGTTCCCCATGGGGATTCTATACCTATACATTTTATGCCCCATCATTCTCTATGGACCAATCATGTACAGGATCCATTGTGTCGCTAAAATTACCCATAATCACGGGTTTCAATTGCAAGATTCCTCGATTTCGAGAACCCGCTTGTTTATCTTTACGGGCTTCTTCGGGCCCGGTATAGGTTTCCCCTACCAAGCAAGGTTCCTTGTGCTGTTATGGATGGAATGGCTCATCATAATGATACCGGCCTGTCATCATTATGTATCCTAAGCCGTGTCATATAGCCATTACATCTGATCCGAAGATACACTTTCTCTCAGTGTGCTAACTATGGATGAGCTATACCGTCCAGTAACAGTCTTTTCTGAATGGTACAATACATGTCACCCCTTCAATATTCACCTGGCAGCAATTTCCTAAGCCAGATCCTGGCGCATTAATTGAGGCCCAGTTTTCGTTGCTACGTGATTATACATACTTGTGGATAATAAATCTGCCCAATTTTGCAATGACACACTGACAAAAGGGGCAGCAATTAAGATGCTACAAAGAGCCTTATATGCCTCATATACCTGGAACGAAAATTGAGAGTGAATTATATACGGCCCTTGTTTCTGTTCTCTAACATCATTCAAAAGAAGTAGAAGTGGTTGGCGGCTTTTAAAGAGCCATCCACTTTAATCAATTCCCAACTGATCCTAAATGATCACCCGATTACTCTACTGCCTACAGCTTTCTATCACGGACTAGATTTAGATCATCGACCACCACTACCCCATTGTAAGGGACCTATCGCATCTTGCCCAGTTTTGTTACGTGGTTGCGAGGACTTTAATAAATAGTCAAACAATGGGATACAGTAAGTCCCGGTAAAGATGCTTTCCTTCTGCTAGCCAAGGAAACATAAATATGGAAACGAAATATCTATCGAGAGTGGTGAGATTTAACTATTGCGTCAATGCCCACTATATCTATGTCATTAAGCTTGTCCTTCCGGTCCCCAACATAGCACCAACCGTATATGATTAATCAACAACTATCCGCAGTCTGCTGCTCCTCGCAGCCTCGTCTCCACCCGACCGTCTCAAGGATCTCAGCCCAGAATCCCTTCGGTGGAGATGTAAGACCCGCCTCATACGCATCAATCATTGGCCTCTCCCAGATCAAGTCCGCCTCCTCGGGGCGAACCACCCTAGTGCGCCAAAATATCTTCCAAGAGAAATAAAGCACCGGCGCTAGAATGAGCATAGTGTAGTGCGTGAAGAAGTTCGAGACGTCCCACGGGATGAAGCTGGAGTACCCGTAGAAAATAACGATGAGACATTCCCCGACCAATCCAATCCAGGCACTGTACGGCTGGAAGTGTCCCAAGTAGGGGAAGGTGTTGCGATCGACGGACTGTGCTTGGCAGGCGCGATAGAAGAAGATGTATGTAACACAGATAACGATGTAGTCGATGATCGCTCCAGCGGTGATGAGGTTTGTGAGCCAGGTCAGGGCTTGCGAAGACCCATTGCCAAGTGAAAGAAGCGACAGCAAAGGGAAGCACATCACGACTATCACACAGTAGATCGGGACGCCGTTGTTTGTGCATTTCTTCAGCAACCTGGGCGCCCGACCGTCCAAGGACAGACCGTATAAACTTCGACTCGCACAGTACATGTATGTGTTCCCAGCCGAAAAGATGGTGGTTATGAGGGGAGCGTTGATGAGATGCGGGAAGCCTGCAACCTTCATATTTTGCATTGCGAGGATGAATGGCGATGCTGCCTCGGTACTGCCTCCACCATTCGTCAAGAACACTAACACTAGGGTGGGGTCGTTGTAGGCAACGAGGATTCCAACACTGATGGCGGCCAGTATATAAACGAAGAAAAAGCGGTAGTATATGATTTTGAACGCGTTCTTGATGTAGATTCGCGGTCGTTTCGCTTCAGCGGCTAGTAGGTTTATGAACTCTGGGCCCATAATAGTAAAGCTGGCAGTCCATAGCGCAGCAAGTAATCCCTCAAAGCGACCTAGGCTTCCGGTGTGAAGGTACTCGGCCATGGGGCCCGGGTCGCGCCAGGCTCGAAATCCAAAAGCGTCATGCTGAGGATTGCCGCCAACCATGGTGATGAATGTGAAAAGGAACAGCATGATAAGCAATGTGATTTTACCCCTGGAGCCCCAGAACTCAGCTTCGCCATATACCTTCACACCAAAAATGCTTAGGATACTAAAGAGATATTCAGTTTAATATTCCGTATATAGTAATATGGAAGGTAGAGCATGTTCAGCTAATCTTACGCATAAGCAGCAATGCATGCACCACACACGGCACCTGTTGGGATATCATCTCTCCAAAATGACAGCACCATGTTGATTGCGGTAATCTCGAATGGAATTGAAAGGGCTTCAAAAAGGAAGAAATTCCACCCAGCCATAAACCCAAAGGCATCGTCGACCCATTTACCGGCCAGGCGGATAAACCCACCCGGAACAGGATATAACACGGTCATTTCAGCCAGGCAATTGTTGACGCAAGCAAGTATGAGGCAATATATTGAGTAACCCAGAAGCAAGCTTAGCGGACCACTCTTTGCCAGACCACCGCCAATGCTGATGAAGAGTGCCGTACCGATAGCACCGCCTACCCCCATGATCTGAATTTGCCGGTTTTCGAGACGTCGCTGCAGCTGATCATTATCAGTGACGACCTCTCCTGGCTTCTGGATATCCTGGGCATCAAAGCCATTGATGCCATGCCTGGCATCCTCGATGGCATCACTCGTGGGGGCTTCCTTTGTACTCATGCTTATAGAGAAGGAGGTTAGAAGGAAGATATATACAATTCGAAGAGAAAGAGGCGTATCACGACGGATCGTGACATTTATAATGCTTGAGATCTCTATGGACATCCCAGGAATACTCCCAGCTCCATAAACCCCGCATCCCTTTCTCCACGCCCCCATACATTCTATCAACCTTTCAAAAACAATCCTCGGCCTTCGCTAGTCTCCTAAGGAGCATAGTGCGAAATCACGACGGCAGCGATGCTGACCTTGCTATGCGTCCTCTCAAGCTCATTTACTGATCGATTAGCACCGTGGCATCTGTAAAGTCAATATATATCACATTCCTATTTTATTTTCCTTTAATATCCTTGTCCGCAGGATCATCTTTAATCTATATGCAAGATAGTGATAACACATCTCGAACGCGAACGTCCTGTCGCTATATTCGGATGTCACGGAGTCTAAATTCGTCAAAAGGTTCCTAGGAATGATAGGCATCGCCAGCCTCAGCCGAACGCCCGAGGAATCCGAGATGGCGTCCCAATCCGATCAAGCCGAGATATGACATTCATGGTTGGGTACCATCAGATAATCGCCTTTCCGTACCATATTACATACGACTAATCGGGAGTATGATCCGAGCTGGGTGTTAGGGCCAAGGTCAGATAGATGTTCTCAGATCGCATCTCCAACTGGTCATCAGAATCATATTAGGTTATATAAACGACCTCATTACCACACCACCGTCCCCAGGTTCCTCGCAAGCATACATCATCCTCAAGATCTTCAGAGTCAAGTACCTACCCCCACAAGAAACATGTCCACCACAACAGTTGCACCCACGATCGCCCACACAGTGGTTGGTCCTGTGAGACTAACAGGAGCACGTCCAACCAACAAATTACCTCAATTCCTCATCGATGAAGCACAGATTGAGGAAAAGCAATCCTTCGATCCCAACCGACACATGAACTATCAGCCTCCTTCGAAGATCTACACCATGAAGGAGATTGGTCTTGAAGGCCAAGGAATCTCCCCAAACGCAGTCACGGCGCCATTCCAGCTTTTCACTGAGGAAGCGATTAAGCAGATGAGAGCGAGATATTCAGCAAGGCGGTATTGGATGAATGCCAGTACACGTCGGCCTTTGTGAAAAACACTATTCGGGGGATGGGACCAGCGTAAGTTGGGATACAATCAGAACGGAGTCCTGACGTATGCTGAATACCGATAACAGACGCGCACCATTTATCTGTGATGCCTGGCGCTCCCCCGAAGTTCTTGCGAAGATTTCAGAGGTCGCTGGCATTGAGCTTATCCCTTCCATGAACTATGAGATTGCCGCTATCAACATTTCCGTAAACGATCAGACTACGACAGTCATGAAAGCAGAGGATGATAATTTGCCTGCCTTCGCATGGCACCGGGACAGTTACCCATTCGTCTGTGTTACGATGCTCTCTGATTGCACCGGTATGGTTGGAGGAGAGACTGCACTCAAGACGGCGAGCGGCGAAATCATGAAAGTTCGCGGGCCTGCGATGGTAAGCTGCGTAGATACCTCCAGAATACGGCGTCATGTACTAAGTATTATTTAGGGAACCGCTGTTGTTATGCAAGGTAGATATATTGAGCATCAGGCACTGAAGGCATTCGGAGGACGTGAGCGGATTAGCATGATTACCTCGTTCCGCGCAAAGTCTCCGCATGTCCGAGACGAGACTGTCCTTACTGGGGTTCGGCCTATCAGTAACGTGTTAGAGCTGTATAGGGAATGGTCCGAATACAGACTGAAGGTCCTCGAGGAGCGGATTCGGGCTGAATTGGAGAACGAACGGCAACAGCAACTGGGCCAGCGCCCCTTCAACGTCTCGGACATGAAGAGGTTTTTGATCCAACAGAGGGAGTTCTTGGACGCTACGATCGCGGAATTGATCCAGTAGGCTTCCACTATTAGGACCACGTTACTCGTTTATTACTATGATTTGTTTTTGTATCGTGAGCAAATGTACCCTCTTTTCTAGCTAGAACAGCATCCAAAATATATATTACATGCCTCGCAAGAACATAACAATAATTTGTACCCAATTTTAAATTGAAATAGGGAACGAAGTAATTAGACAGGCTTTCATATTCCATCTTGATATATTACAAGTACGGTGGTACATGGCAACATATCCAGACAGATGGACATCCATAAGAATAACGAAGCCGAAAAAGCCGAGAGATTTGCCGCGCCATCGGATGAGCCTCCCGAGGAGGTGCGGGGGACGAATAAGAATGGGAGGATAAACGATATAGTGGGACTTGGAAGCTTGCCTTTCATGGTAAAACTATCCTGCAAGAAGGCAAGAAACACGAGAGCCAGTGAAATACTGTAAATGAGCAGTTGGGATAGGGCTATCTCCCCACATGGAACTGGCCTCATGATCCACCAGAGATAGCAACTCATTTCGAAGTGCGGGGTACCTATAAGGCATATATGAAAATCCTGACCATCAGAGTTATATTGTTTTACCCCCATCCCATATCGAGGTTTTAGAAAAGATGGAAAACAGTTCGAGCTATGGGCCGCGGAAGACAAGACGAACGGCAAATGCGTAAGTATACGCCTGACAAGTTACGTATTGAATTGGATAGAGACTTACCTGGTTCGCAGATGCATTGCCTGCCGTCATAGTAAAATAAAATGTACTGGCGAGGCGCCATGCGCCAATTGCCAGCGGCGTTCACTGAGGTGTGAGTTTGTGGAGGGGGTTAATCGGGTGGTGGTCTCTGAGAGGTCGGTTTGTTGTGAATCTTGTAGGAACTCGACTGATGACACAAATAGGATAGATATCTTCGACAGTTAGAGAAAGAGGTTGAAGAACACCGCCAACTCACTGGAGTCAGAAGCCCTCCGGAGTCGCCATTGGAGTCGCAGACCAGGCTGAAAGACACAAGCACAGCGGATTGCACGGACGAGCCATTGCAACTACAAGGCTTCGGCTATGCGCAGAGTATCTGGACTAGTCCTTTTACCCTACCTTCAACGACCATCCGGAATAATCAGCAAAATAAACGCACTTGGAGTAAGCGTGCAAATTAGGTCTGTCCCATGCAACACTAACAATAGAAATAGTTTGGCTGGCTCCGTCCTCAATGTGGTCATTCACGACTCGTCTAACCATCATGATGACAGAGAAACTGCAGCTCAGAAACACACATTCTTCCCCTATATCAGAAAAGGAGAGCTATCCTATCCGATGGGAGGCCTGTCCAGCCGATGAACCCCCCGACATAAGTGGCCTGCCATCCCTCGACCACGCGCTCTATCTGTCCGAGACAGTCAAATTCCACCTGGGGCAAAGTTACCGATTGTACAATGAAGATGAATTTATCCACAACGTGCGCGAATTCTACTATGGGGACTCTGCGAAAATGGCCACCGACAATCGACTATGGTTTATACAATTTCTGTTGGTTTTGGCATTCGGAACTGCCTTTCTCCACCGGTCGAAGCGGGCAAAGGAACCCCCTGGTTCCAAGTTCTTCACCCGTGCGATGGCCCTGATGCCGGACCACGCCCCGCTATGGAAGGGAAGCCTACTCGCCATTGAAGTCTTAGCTATGGCTGGACTGTATTTATACTCGATCGACCAACGAGAGTCGGCACATATATATGTAAGGCTTACTATTCTTTTACCGGAGTATTTTCTCGCTCACGCTTGTTGTACACAGGTTCGCCAGGCGATCCAAATCGCACAGTTCGAAGGTCTACATACCCACCTCCCAGAGGAGCAGCTCGGCGCCGAGACTGTGTCCCGATGTCGTGACCTGTGGTGGACGTTGTACATCCTGGACCGCCATTTCTCATACTCCGTCGGGCTCCCTATGATGACACAGGATAGCGACATCAGTACGCCAATCGATCCGCCAAGCACATGTTCTCACCGAGACATTGTGATGAGCCTACAGGCCAAACTGGCACACTTGCTTTCGAACATCCTAAACAGTATGTTGGCCGTAACCTCCAGATTGCATCTCTCTCTAATAATATCCTACCCTAGCCGTGTACAAAACCGAGAAAACCCAAGTCGGATCATTCCTGGAGATGACCAGGTCTACATTACATACATTAGCAGGACACGCCCAAGAGGTGGAGAAAATCATCCATGTCCGGTTCTCGAATTCCGTCGATACAATGCCCAAAGGGACGCGACACATCACATTGCTGTACCACCAGGTATGACCGGAACAGATGGCTGCGAAGTTCCATGAATTCAATGTCTTAACTGACCGTGCACAGTGCGTAATCGTCGCCACCAGGCCACTCCTCCTTTCGGCCCTCATCGAGCGATTAGAAAATCTCGACCACGAGAGAGAATACTGGCGATCTTTTCTCGCTCTCACGAAAACCCTGATATCCATCGGGATCAAGTCTGCCGTTAAGATGCTGCAAATACTATCTAATGACGATAACCTTCTCGGTAAGTCGCCTAGAGTATTACATTCCTACATCATCAAACCAATCCAACCCAACTAACCATATGCTGCAGAAATATTCCTCCCCTACGACCTCGAATTCACCTATGCGGCAACCCTGCACCTCGCAATGGCAAACGCAGTCTTCCCACAAGCCCTAGACGGACAAGCCTACCTCGAGGAAGCGCACGGGATCCTCGACGAAATGATCTCCAACGGAAACAAAGTAGCCGAGGTACGGAAGGCAGAGCTCGTGCATCTCGAAATGCTGTTTGAGGAGCTTGCCACGAGGGTAAAGGCTCAAGGACTCCAACCTCTGACGCTCGTGAGTCCAGCAGATGCAGGGGCGGTCCCTCAAGCCCAGGGAGTGGATGAGGATGGAGAGGGCGAGACGGTCACTGATATTGGGGTTTGGGATCTCCCCATCCCCGGTGACTCGCTTACTTCACATCCGGGTGATATGCAGATGTCGAGTGTGGAGTTGCTTAATAACATTGGCATTTCGTCGTCCGACTTTCTGTATATTGTGGATCAGATTGGGAACCCGGATGTTTCGTACAGTATATTGGATCTTGGGCGGGGTGGAGACATGAAATGATTAATAGGGGGGGTGTTGCTTTCACTAACTGATGATAAAGGAAACCAGCTCTTAGATTGCGTGGTGGGACTTGTTTTCGATACCTGTCTCTTGCTCAAATTCTAACAGATTGTTTGTTTGGTGTGTGGGATGCCTGTTTGATCAAAGGCGAGGGAGAGGACATCATGGCTTACACTTAGATTAGACTACTAGAAATCGCCGAGGCGTTCTGTTCAGACTTAGAGCTGCATATTCCATGGCACAATAAAGGAGAGAGAGGCCTAGCTCAACACACCTGGGAAGGACGAGCAGGCCTCGGTGCAACCCAACACTTTTTCAGGGAATGTCAAGGCCTCCCAACAACCACTTGAACGAGGCCCAGGTGTCAATGAAAGGCATGGGATGGATGGCTGCAGCACCAGCTCATCCACCAAGACAAGCAAAATCAAACCGACTGAAATGACCCGACCAGAGTCTCCCCCACGGCCTATGCGTCGTGGAAGCTCTCCCTTACATTATTAACTAAATCCATGTTCCTGTAGCGATGCCCGCAGCTGAAACAGAACTTCCTCTCTACCCCTGTCACTAACATCAACCCTCGTACTTCGCGACATTCCAAATTTCGATCAAGGCATCAAAAACGGGCCGCGCCTCGTTGTTTGAATTGGCCACTGGTTTCAATGATTTAGGAGTAGACCACCTGATACTAGTGGTATTCTCTGTTCGAAAGCTCCCATCCTCATCGCCATATCTGCTGGCTAGTAAGGGGGAGACGATAGCAGGGAGAGTAGACGGTTTACGCAATGCCAGGTAGGTAATTTGTGAGCTCACAAGGACCTGAAGCGTCTTCCGACTGCCGGCCAATTTGCAAGCCTGGCGCATTGCCACGGGGACATCTATAGGGGTCACTGGGATTACGTTCGGGGCTAATCAATGTTAGATATTGATCTCCATTGGAAAGTGGACAATAGCCTGCTACTCACATCCCACATGCCACCACCGACGTCGGTATCTCTTGGCTAAATAAGTACAGACCTCTGCTTTGGCAACAGCAATGATGATTAAGTCACTCTTGCGGTCATCTTTAATGGCATCTCGCATGCATTCACATTCCACTTCCACTTCTGTTCTCTTCTTCGTCGCCTTAGTGGCTTTCGTGTTGGTTTTTTCTGCAGGCATGATATGTAGTTAGGCGTGTTAAAACGGCACAGGTGGAGTGGGGAATAAATATCGCGAGCACAGAAGGAAACAAAGAGATTGAAACTGAAGTTCAGAACGACCTTGGGGCCCTAAAGAGACAAGACTTTAGAGTCTGTAGATAGGCCATCGAAAGAACAAAAAAGAACTCAAGGTCCTATTCAAGTCGGCGTTTAGATAGCGTTTTATATGCGGGAATGACTTCCGAGCTCAACAAATAATTACCTAAACGAGGCGTATGCACATACGTCTAGATTCGGTCATGGAGGAGGTTGTTGCATGCATACCATCCTACCGCCGATACCACATCCTCGTAACCCTAGTGTGCCTCATCTTCTTCTGCAGCTGGAAAATACCATACAAAAACGCCTCCGGCGTTGGCGGACAACCCGGAATATAAACATCGACTGGAACAATCCGATCCACGCCCCTTACAACACTATAACTGTAATGGTAATATCCACCCCCATTAGCGCAACTGCCCATACTGATCACCCACTTTGGGTCTGGCATCTGATCATAGCATTGTCTTAGAGCCGGGGCCATCTTATTGGTGACCGTGCCAGCCACGATCATGACGTCGGATTGTCGCGGCGAGGCCCGGAAGATGATTCCCAGACGATCTTGGTCGTAGCGGGGCATCGAAACTTGCATCATCTCTACGGCACAGCAGGCCAGGCCGAAGCTTAGTGGCCAGAGAGAGCTTTGGCGGGCCCAGTTTACGAGCTGGTCGATGGTTGTCCTGTGCGGTTGTGTGTTAGGGACCTGCTCTGAGTGCTGGGTGTTGGTCGGCGATCTTACAGAACGTGTTCGGCTTTGTTAGAGGGGGCTCCTTTGGTCTTCATGATTGACTTGGATTTAGGGAAGGCTTTGGTGAGGGCAGCATGCGCTTCCGTCACTTTCGCTTGGGTTGAGGTGTTGTGTCGACGTATGCAGTAAACTGTCGGGGTAACCGAGGATAGTAGTGATGATGGTCTTTGCATAGTGCAGAAGGCACCTTTTACAAATCAGTCTCTAGCAACGGTGATTGGAAGGAGAGCATGGATTGCATATCTCTGTCCTACTTACTCCGAGTGAGCTGTACAGTGTTCATGTTTGTAAACTGCATATAGGGCTTATCTCGGACCCTTGGGCGGAAAGCAAAGGGGGTGAACAGGACAGTCAGAATTAGAAATTCAGAAAGAGTACCCCGAAACAAATTGGAAATAGACACAATGAAAAGCATATCGTTTCAAGGGGTATGTTATTTTCCTGCGAAGTGGGTTTTCCCCTACTATGTGGGATTTTCCCGACTAATCACTGCGACAGCGAAAACTGGGCCTTGCATGACCCATACTGCGCACTCTGTGGATTCCACGGCCCCTGAACCATGCTCAAGAACTTAATTTGCGCTATAAAGTAAGTTCCACAAACATATATATCACAAGTGAAGGGATAGTATGGTCGCAATCTTTACCCTATACGGTCAATGGGTCTCGGGACTGATGACAAAGCGCACATCTCATTTGCCCGATAATTTTATATGGCGTTGTTCACCTGCCACAAATACCATATTCAAATGGAATAATTCGAGGACCAAATCTGGACACCACGAATGGAAGACGGTATATAAGAAGGTATCCAAGGGAATCAGATAAAAAGAAAATTGACCGCAGCTGGCAACCGCACATCACGAATGATGCCGGTTTCTCGCCAGCGTTATGAATGCGGCATTTGCCACCAGGTATACTCGACGAGCAGTCACCTGCGACGACACCAAGCGAAGCGTAAGACTCGATTGCGAGCGTATATAATAATATGTATCTAACGAGCTTTTTAGATGTACCGAGAGAGCATTTCATTTGCCAGTTTTGCGAACAAAGTTATATGCGACGGTATGTGTGCCGATATCGTAATACCTCACGACAAAGGTCTGATTATAGCACCCACAGGGACGTTCTTCGTCGTCACTATGAATCCTGCAAGCAGAAGGGCAGCAAGCCAACTCCATCTGAAGGGAAGCGCGGTAGGAAGCGGAAAGCTTGCGATGCATGTGTCGAGAGCCGTACCCAGTGCGATGGAGAGCTTCCATGCGAGACATGCCTTCATAGGGGATTGAACTGCTCACTTAGCCACATAGGAGAGCAGGATTGGAAACCTAGGGGTAACGGAGACGCACAGAAAAAAGCAGAGGACACGAGCATCAACAAAATCCCAGTTGAGTTCCTTCTAAATTATACAGATCCAGCCAGCAAGACATTATATGACGTTCAACGGATACTCGCGGGGTGCGATAAAAGCCTAGGAGAGTACGCATTCTCTGAGGAATATCAAATGCCAAATTCCGATGGATCAACAGAGCAGTGGATGGGGCTATTTCAACTCTTTGTTAACACATCCGTGTTTGATAAGTCCGACGACGATCAGTGCCTTATGTATGGGCTGGACAACACCGGAGAGCTGGGCAACACAGCCTCGAGAATCATAGGGCTGCTGAAGCACAGTCCTGAATCGCAGTTCAACAGCAAAAGGCACCCTATTATCGAAGAAGCTAGGTGCTTCTTCTCACCAAAGAATCTCACTGCTTTTGTCAATGCATTCTTTGAACATTCATACAAAAGCACACGTTTCATTCATAAAGCATCATTCAATGTTCATACTAGCTCACCCCAGCTGCTACTGGCTATTGCTTTGATGGGTGCGACATGTATCTCACCGCAGGATGCATCTTCCGCAGCAGTGTACTCTAATGTAGCTGAGTATCTCATTTTCGAGGGACATGATTTCGGACAGGTCTTGAATACGGACAACCCGTCTCTAACCAAGACGAATATGGAAATTCTCCAGGCAGCAATGCTGGTAACCGTCATTCAGGGGTGGAAAGACGATATATACATCAAAAGGCGGATTCGAACTCAGCGATTCCCGGCTCTGGTTTGCGCTACACGGGCACTACGACTGACGCAAGCTACCAATGACGCTGTCAGCGACACAAAGCCCCTTGAGTGGGACAAGTATTTTCAGAGCGAGAGCCTTGTGAGGTTAGTCCAGCAGGAATACGCCGGGCTAGATCTAGAACTAAATTTCTTCGCAGGGCCATGGCTTGGCTTTACCTTATGGACTCACATTTGGTAGTCTACTATCGCAACCCGCCACACTTTAAAATTGCTGAAGCTTGTTTTGGCTTGCCACAAGATGAGGAACTTTACGATTCAATGGAACCATCTGCACGGGTGAAATTGGTGCGAAATGCGACCAATCACAGGCTCACCCTGACCTTGAAGTCCGTTATCCAACGGTTGATGAAGACAGACAATGGGCAATTTGACGAACTGCTTTCCCAGCCATGCACATTATTTGGTCTGTTTTTAGTTCTAGGGAGTACGTTGCTGGATTGTAACCTTACTCGCTTAGGTGTCACTGACTCTTCATTGGCATAGGTCTCCATTGTGTACTGTTCGATTTGCAGGCATTGAGCACCTGTGTTGAACTATCCGGACCCTTTGCCTCTCTTGATGTTGCTCTAGATCGATGGAAGCAAATATGGGACTTAGCATATACGACAGTGAAACCTGATGACATTAGTCAGTCGGGGTTTATGGTACACGCTCTGGAGCTCTGGTGGCTTGCAAAGAAACTTATCCACAAGCCAACCGGGATATGTCCAGAGAGTGAGTTTGCGGCGGACTCCATGAGCACGTTTCACCAGATGATCAAGGACTTAAAGGGCTTTCATTCCGTACAATGAGAAGCTTCATATCGATCATTGGTCCCCGTTTACCATTAATAAACTCTTTGCTTCCCGTTAACGATACCAAGAACCCATAAATAATGGAACAGCAAGAAAAACAAAGAGGATGGCATATCCCTTGACGGGCGACGCCGACTTTTGAATGCTCTTTAAAACAATAGTCTATTTAAATACATCCCAAGTTTGGACCCTCTGTGGATGGCTTTCATGCAAACAACTATCCGGGTTATGAATTCATCCATCCATACCAACGTTCACACCGTTCACACCGTCCCAAGGAGAAAATCTCATTCACGGTGGGCTCTCCATTCCCTCTTTTATCGAATAACACACACGGCAACGATCACGCACGATGTCTTGGTATCATAACGGAATCGAAGACACAATAACAGATTCGTCGAGAACCACCGAATCTCAGAGCGAGAATGGCACTCATCAAGTCGCCCTGACGGCATATAAAGTACGAGATCTCGCTGCATGTCTCAAATGCATGACCCGTGCGCAACTAACCGAGGTTCTGCAAACCGCTGGGGATAATTACATCGAAGTGCATAAGCTAGTGGAGTCTAAGGTATCCGAAAGGATGGACGACAAGGCTCGGATGTACCGCTGCGAAATGAGCGATGTCGTTTGCTTCAGGGGCTGTCTGGAAGCGGCCCGAAAGGCAATGGCGGAGGCAGAGAGTCGCGTTGAATTACTGCGTACATGGAACAGCTTGCCAGACAGTGGCAATGATGACTTCACGAACATGGTTCAGCTAATCGCCGATCACTGTGGGCCATTCGCGCACCCCAAAACCCGGGCTAACGGGCTCACAATGCTCTGTGAGCTGTGCTATGTTCTCATGGATATAGCTAGGGATGACTTTTTTGAACAGGATCGGAGTAAGTACGGTTGGGATGTGAGTCTGGAAAATGCGATGCTAGAGGTAGTCACCGCGATGACGCCAGCTGAGAGACAGTCTGTTGTCGACGATGCTGACTTGTGGTCTGCTTTGCTTTATGTATATGAGGAATCCGATTACAGACTGTTTCATGCATTTAAAGATGTGATAGATGAGTTCCCTAAGGTGGCTAGTGGCCCTGAAGATGGAGAGGACAACGATGAGTTACGGTCTCTATTCGAAGAGTCTGATCAGGATACAGGACAGAGCGAGAACGACATGTCGGAGGTTGAATAAATATACATCTTCATTTTCTGGGCTTCTGCAATTTTCCACTGACCGAATGGTAGATATCTGAATTATAAAATTCCTTTCTACGCTCACTACATTGCTTAGTTATCCGTTCGGGCCTATGCCCTATACACTGTATGGCGCACAATAGTTTCACAGCTGTGCAGAAGGTTTATTGCTCCCAGTACCCTAGTATACCTATGCTGTGATGATCCCTGAAACGGGAGAATAACCACCAAGTAGGAGGAATCGACTTCCGATCATCCTTAGTATCCTTTGTGGGCACCTAAAGGGTTAACCTAGTAAAATGTGCAGCTTTAGAGTTCGGGTGCACAACTGCGGCCATTATGACAAGACTCTCAAGAAGGCATGTGGTCCTGCAAAGCGCAGAAAATCAGTGTGCCAGACAGGAGCTAATGAGGATGCCTCCACCAGCGGCAATCACAATTGTGGATATACCGGATGTGACGGACACCCAAACTTGGAGAGAAATCGATGGCGGATTTGATGAAGATGATTATAGCTTGGACCACTACTAGGGGTGGGAAATATCACACAGAATCCCCTTGGCAGTACTATAACCACCGGTTGGCAAGAGTGCCGGCCTGAGACTCAGTTAAAATTTCCATATCCACTCAACTGTGAAATAGCCTCTGACAAGGTCATTCGGCTCCAAGGATTCTCTTCCATGAGATGCCCTGCAATGCATAGTAAGGTTTCTGCCAATGTGCACTTCCCTACGCGAGTGGCAATCTCCGATAGAACCTTTCCGTAGGCCCAAACATCGTGCAACAAGCGAGCTTGAAAAGGAAGGTCAAAAGGTGATCTTTCAGGACGGATCTCCGGAGCTCGCCACGAATATGTTATTCCGCTAGCGCCGCTGATGTCGATCAGCACCGCATTTCCCTGGGCGTCAAGGACAACATTGGCAGGTTTGATATCCATATGGGTTTGTCCAGCCCTATGAAAGTGGCTCAGGGCTGTCCCAATTTGGATAGGCCAACGCGTCCAGGGATATTCCTTCACACGGTCTTCTTTGAGGATTCGCTGCAAGGACCCGCCGCTGTAGAACTCCAACAAGATACCACTGATCACAGGTGGTTGATCACTCGTTCTCGCGGTCATATATGGATTGGAAGATACCGCAATAGCGACTGGCTGTACGATACCGGGGACACCCTTGAAACGTTCGAGGTTCTCTAGCTCCTTCCGTATGACGTTCGTGTCGTGAGGACGATAAAGGGGCCTATTAACTACCTTCAGCACGTAGGGCACCCGGGCGGTCTTAGAGCACACACGATGAACCCCGTCCGCGATCTCATCTTCCTCCTCCAATGCTGCCCAATCAATACACCGGAAGGAAGGAAATTCACAGCACGAAGGGTAAGTCACTCGCAGCGGGTCCTCTTGGATTCGGTATGATAGGCTTTTCGCGATTATGACAAGTGAATTGGTACTGTCTCTAGCTTCAACGTTGAGGTCGATGTGGTTGGTCATTCCCGGCGAGTTTTCCAAAACCAGTTCAGACACTGTGTCGTCGAGGAGAGGGAGAGTTCGATAGTTGATCTGATTGACAAACTCCTGGTACTCTCGGCATCGTTCGCGTTTTGGGATCTTTTGAGCTGCCTCAGTCTCACTCGATTGATAAAGAGTGCCGAGGAGAGTCACCTTGATCCACCATTTATGGTCTTTGAAGCGGTAGATCAGGGCTTGCGAACGAGAACTAGGCTCGGGGGTTCCCCGCACGAGATGGTCTTGACTCTCGAAGTATTGTTTCAGTTCGAGTGACTGTGTGACATTGGGTGGAGCTGGCATCTTGGGCTGTGGAATGAGGTGTAGATGCTCAAGAAGAACAATCTAGGGCAGAGCAAGAAGGCCTGCATGTTGTTGATGTTTATGTTCCTGATCCTGGAGCGGGTGTCACATGATTGACATCAGTCTTCGGAATATATATCGAGCAACCCTCAGCGCAAAGCTGTACAATCACCAGCAATGCTACTATAGACTGAAACTTGTCATGCGACAAACTTAAAAGAGCACTTTATCATGATGTCTCCAGGGCACCCAAACAAACCCAGTTGTGGATCAAGATAACCAAACCACGGAGACGACGATCACGAACCACGAAGTTGATGACCGCCGCCGGAAAAGCGCGCCCCACACAAGCTCTCTTGACTGGACATCAACCAAACGGCAAATGCAACCCAATTCAACGTTCCTATGCTGTTCTCACTGCATTAGACTGATCTGTATATACAATCAAACAGTGATAACCCGATAGCAGGACACAGGAGTAACAGCTGCAGGCAATGCGGGCAAAATGACCGCCCGAAGCGCGCGGTGGATCACAGTAGGGCGATTACTTAAGCGCGGCACCGCACAGCCAGAAACCAAGACATACAGCCAACATCACTCCAGCCCCGGACATCTCCCCCGACATCCAATCCCCCAGTCTCCAACCATGTCCCCGGATACACTAAAGCTGGTACAAACTGACGATGGCGAGGCGCCGGCGCCACGCCCCGACGCCCAAATTGACCAAGCCATCGCCGTCAAATACTGGAGCGACAAACCCGCAACAGTGAACGGCATGCTTGGCGGCTACGCCCAGGTCTCGCGAACCGATCTGCGCGGGTCCAAGAACTTTCTCGCCAAGGCTCGCCGATTAGTGCCGGGCTGTCCGGCCACGGGGAAGCTCAAGCGCGGCGTAGACTGCGGGGCTGGGATTGGACGCGTGATTAATGATTTTCTGGGCCAGGAGTGCGAAGTCGTTGATGCCGTTGAGCCGGTGGAGAAGTTTTCCCGGGTTCTAAGTGAGCGGCGGCTGACGAGGAATTGTGCGCTGGGCGAGGTGCTTACTATCGGCATTGAGGATTGGGTCCCTGGGGCCAAGGTGTACGATCTTATCTGGGCGCAGTGGAGTGTCCCCTATCTGACGGATGCGCAATTGGTTGAGTATTTGGTGCGGTGTCGCGGCGCTCTTACAGATGTCGGGATTATGATTATCAAAGAGAATATTTCTGAGGAGCCGGAGGGGGATATCTACGACGAGTCAGAGAGCAGCGTGACAAGGACAGATGCCAAATTACGAAAATTATTCAAAGACGCCGGAATGCATCTGATTCTCTCGGAGGTGCAATCGGGGTTTCCTCGACAATTGAAGCTTTTACCTGTTAGATCTTATGCGTTACGGCCAAGGAGCTAAGCACTTTGCAGTTCATTTGTTCATATTTTTGTGACTGGTGGCAGTATTGCGTGTAATCGTCACAGTGGAAGTTTTATCTTGTTTTTTTCCGAATTGGTCATATATTAATAATGACAGCCATCGACATCGACGGCAAAAGTAAAAAAAAGACCCATGCCTACTTATATGCACGCATATAAACCAACCAACAGCAACCCAAGTAAACATGTACAGCTATGCAAAGAAAGAAGAGATAGAGAAATATGCCAGCATGTTCCCATTCGGCCAAAGATGCAACGATAATCATGCTCGGTCAGTCGCGTCGAATATATCCAATTTGAACAATAGCCCCAACCCTGGTGCGCAGCACTATAGCCCACCGTTCGTCACCTTCCGATCATCAGAAACGCCCACCTATCTCAGTCAGCCCACATAAAGCCCGAGACACTAGGTACTCTAGTTGCCTAGGCAAAGGCTTCGAGTACCGCTCGACCTCTTTCCCATCCTTATACAAGATGAGAGTAGGGCGCTCTACTTTCGCATAATCGGAAATAAGCTTGTCATCGCCCACGTCGACTTCATAGAATGCCACCGTGTCACTATACGCATAAGAGGCGAGGTCATCATAGGCAACATCGGTGTCAGACAAACGACGCCGATAGTCACGGAAATTGAAGACCGCGTAGTTCTCTCCGCTGACTACATTATGATATGTGTTCAAGCTAGTCCGTAGTCAGTTACAGGGTATTCCAAAGTATCCACCAACCAAATATAGCTTACTCAGTAATCTTGATCGATCCCATTGTGCCTGCAGTTATAGTGAGCGTGGGTTCGAATTGAAAGTGTTGGGTGGTTGTTTTGGGGGTAGATGGGCTAGCCGTGGTGTATGGTAGAGTCATACTCGGGGTTGGGACGCTCTTAAATAGTTTATTTTTTCTTGGAGCAAAAGCGCCACGTCGGTAGAGACGCAGGTTTTATGGTATGATCATGAAGTGTGGGTATAATAAGCTTAAATTGTGCTACTAGCGCAGACAGAGCGCGCTGGGGTAGGCTACTAATATTGGTTCTGGCCTTGACGTGATTGTGTTGATGATTCATGATAAGCAGGCTAGCTGCTGGACTCGGATAATAGTAGGATACTATGGCATTATAGAATCCGACACACGAGTCAGAACAAGTACTCATCCCTCCCCGATCCCACAAGTTAACTATCACGGTATGCAGTGAGTGAACACTTCGACCTGTACGGAGCCTGAATCAAGAGTTACCTTCCTCCCCGGGTTCATACGATGTACCCGCTTTTCCCCGTATATGACTGGGCAATAACGCCTGGAAATAAACTCCACTGGAGTCTGGAACACGTCCCTACTAAGTGGTGTTATCTCATACTGACGAAAAACCTTGACCACCGGTTGATGTCTCGTTACATTCGATGACGAACACACTTGCTAAATTTGTTAAGTAACAATGGGTTATGCCACCGTTTCGCAGAAAGATTACAACACATTCGGTTGTCCATTCCGACATGATCTCTTGGACATTCTTGGCTGAGGCATCAATTGGCGGGTCCATAGCCGGCCATATTGGGTTGCCTCCGTGGCCTCACCCAGGCCTATTAAAAGCACGCAGTGGACGTCGGGTGCTTTTCCCTGAGTCGGCAGGACAATATTGGAAATTTGCCTCTAAGTCGACTCATGTCGCAGAGCTAATTTGGGGCCTACACAGCAGTGGCATGCTTGGCCTGGACTCTTTGTCACTTTCATTTAATGGTTGACGTAAAGACGTGCCAAACTCTGCAGTGTATTACGTCAGATTTTGATTATAGCCTTTTCTATTATAATAGAGCCATTCTTGCCTCAATTCGGCTTTGGGGGAAATAGTCTAGAACCCCGCCAAGACGTGTAAATCGCATTCCTCTTGAGTAATGTTACTAGATTCTAAAGAATCGAAGTCGCAATCCACCCTACAACGTGCCGCAAAGCGGATGAACCCAGGTCAACGAGGTCCTTTTAAATATAAAAGCAGTTGAAATTCAACCACTCTAAACAATTTAGCACTTGATCTAACTAGTGCAAGTTCTGTAAAATATTACAGCCATAATACGTCACTTCGTTTGGTGGCTTGAGTAGATCGAAAAGACTTGGTAATACCCTGTGCTCAGTCTTCCAATACAAAACTTGACACTGATGATTTACACCCAAAAACAAGTTAAACCCTCAAATTAATTGTCGAGTTTACTTCGTCGCTTTAAATTACTTGAATCGGTTGACGTCACGGTCCAGGCATCAAATAGAGGTGGTTCAGCGCAGGAGCTGTACGGTATATCCGGCTTTCGGTGCAATGAAAGAACCTGATTACCTTGAGATCTGATATGGTCTTGAGTGGGAGAAATGCAGCCTAGATGCAGGACTGCCTAATTTACTAGCCTGGTCTTCAGAAATAACTCTGTACCAGGGAGGGGCCAATCATCAGGTGTACAAGGTCTTGCTCTGACGATCAAAAAGAACAAGAATAAGTCTTGGTTTTAAATTCTGCTATTATTGGTATCCTTGGTGGGTATTTTCTAACTCCCGAGTTGCCAGGGTACCCTATCTGGTTGGCAAGCCTTTTACCCTGGATACTAGACCCTCCGATATACTTCTATTGGTTAAACTACGGAGGAGCAAATTAAAAGGATACTCTGTTAAGAGCAGTGCTGGGGAGACAGTAAACTTTTGAATAAATATAGAATACATAATGAGTATATGGGATGCCTTGCGAAATCCCCAAGGGTCAAGCTCTCCTGTAATATGGTAGATATTACTGTAAGCTTTGTATTAGAAAACTGGACCCAGGATATTACTAGGTAGAATCATGCAATTCTGTTCACTTCTTGAGGCTACCTATGGGGAGCGATGTACCACGACTTGCTGAGGTAGTAGTAAGAACCGTGATTATAAATTCTTGATAAGGTTTTCATTTTATTCGTAGCAAAAGTAGAAAAATGCAAACATAGTGAGTATGGTAGACATCGTCAATCTTTGAACAATTCAACTTTTCACTGCCACTGATTTGCGAATAAAACTGACCATACTAACTACAGGAACCATAAAACTAACCTGAATGGTTATTTCGTCTCCTTCTACCCTTCATTAACACTGCTAACTGAGCAATCAACACAATCCAAAGGAGGTGCCACCACAATTCCACTGCTTTACAGACTGATGCCGAAGCCTCCACATGTCACAAGGTGGACTATCCTTCAGACAATCTTGGAGTATATCCCCCGTGGGGTATGGGATACCCGTGACATGTAGTCTCACGCAATGAGGTTACTTGGGTTTCTATTCCTTGTGCTCTATGAACGCTCTTCAATTTAGTTTGCGAAAGGTGATCCGTTGCTGCTGAGGAATCGACCAAGGCGTGCTGCTGTCTGTCGGGCCACTTCTGCCATGATAGCAGGAATTAGGTTAGAGAAACTTGCAAATTGTATATGCAGCCTACATTTGCGTACGATGTATCCCAAGGTTGTTGTCATTAGTAATCGGTATATCTATTGGATGGTTTCATGAGTTCATATTCGTATGATAGCCCTCAGGGTAAGGTGTAACCTCCATCTACGACAAGATCGGCCCCGGTCGTATAACTTGAAGCATCTGAAGCCAGATATAAATAGGCACCTTTGAGCTCATGCGGCAGAGCTTCCCGACCCATTGGGATTTTACCTTTCCAAATATCCTTTGTTTCGTCGGGCACAAATGTCGAAATATCAGTAATAATATACCCAGGCGAGACTGTGTTGGCACGCGCAAATTGAACCCATTCCACCGCAAGTGATTTGCCTGTTAATTATTAGCACGATATGCACGAGCCTCCATCGAGAGTAATAGCATCAACATACACAAATGGATCACTCCGGCTTTAGCCGCATTATATGCAGCCTGGAGTTGCGGTATGTTGACAATATGGCCGCTCATGGAAGCAGTCGCAACGAAGCTACCATATGTGAAGCTTTCTAGAGGGTTGCCAAAAATGTCTGTACCCTCGGCCTTCTGCCTTCTCCAATGAGCGCCGGCGGCTCTGGCACAATAGAATGTTCCGTCTAGATCTGTTTGCGTCACGTCCCTGTAGTGGTCAAGCGGCGCATCGATCATGGGACCCTGAGTCCACGGAATTCCGGAGTTGGCGATGAAAATGTCTAGACGACCGTTGAGCTCGCGGACACAAGTATTTAATAGCTCTTCGACCTTTTCACTTTCGCGGATGTTTACTTGGTATGCGCGGCCTGGTATATAATCAATTAATGCATCTGGATGAGGCGCACAATTGGAGAATGGAAAGTAATATCCGACATACACTTAACGCCGTACTTGGTCTCGATATTTGCGGCCTCCTCGACGGCTTTGCTATTTCTGTTATACCAAATTGCAACATTGGCGCCTGCCTCCGCGAGTGCATGTGCGACGCTCAACCCGATTCCGGATGCTGCGCCGGTGACGACTGCAGTTTTCCCTTTTAGGGAGAAGAGGGCCATAACACTGTCCTGGACTGGAGGAGTAGTGTTGTTATGGCGGAAAAGGCCATTTACGACTGGACCTTCGGACATTGTGTCTGTTTTCGTGGGTTGAGTATGTGACAAGCTAATTTGAGAAGACAGGACGAAACACGTACCTCACGTATAGCCCGGGATGCCCGCATTAAATAGCCTCCAGATGGACAATATGCCATCTGTTGTGTGGAGTTCTGTCCCCACTGTAGCTCAGACATTCGTTGATGTTGTCATTGAGAACGCTCTATGGCTGGGCTTCCGGCGGAAGTCCCCCATGGACGGATTGTTCACTGATACTGGGATCATTTACCACAGGGCAGAAGGAATACAGCAAAGTTTAAGCTTATTACATGGAAACAAGCAGTTCTATCGTCTTCACTATCTGCACTATCGCATACTCACATATAATCAACGCGTGCTAGTGCAATATGCTGACCGAAGGGCACCGTGAAGGTCCCATACAGTTAACCCCGCAAGAACGTCCGGTTCCGAGCGCCGTGCACTTCCGGCGGAAGCTCGTTTCTATCAACTAAATCTCGTGGAATCAGTCCTTCATGCGGCATAGTGTGGTGGGTCCCTTCTGTTCTAGTTTGGGTAACGACTCTAGAATGTATGTGATCAAGCTGATAACGAAGAAACAACCTGGTCCACAATTCAACCGGCTCTACTCCGGAGTATTTCAGGCTACACCGAACTATGTCGTCATCCAATCTTACCAGGGCAATGCCACCACACAATACTTTATTGAAGCATGGATATGTTTACATTTCCTTCAGCTGGTGGTGGGCCCGAGACGAGAAACTGGGCGGTGGGACGGACCCACAGCACGGCACGTATGCACCGACTCTTTGGGGTTGACCGCCATATGTTCTCCATCAAAGTACTGTTAAACTGTTGTTTTCTTCGGATCTCCTCTGACGTAGTTTTTAGTGTAGATCATATAGGTATAGATGAAGTTCGCACCTGCAGGGCACGTTGCAGAGACCAGGGACGAAGGTCGAAAGAGCACAGTGATATCAGGACTCGATAGCAGTTTTGACCAAATGGAGACCAACCGCAACTGGTTACTAACAGTGGGAAGGATTTTGTACTCTTTCATTCGTACTGCAACCACACATTATATGAGATAGTGCTGTTTTCTGTAATGCCCTCCGCAACCGACCTTCATTTCCAAGGAATATTTCCTCAAACATGTCGAGACCCAGCATTCTGGGGCATATTAGTTTGCCAGGCTACACATCCTCTCATCCCTCTGCTTCAGAGCCATGCATGATATCGCTGAAACTACTGTACACTTTCTGCTGAAGTACCATTCAACTCTGTTGTCGCTATCGGGAAGCATCTGGAAGACGTCGGGCTTTATACTTTACC